TTATAATAATGTATATGACAAATACCAATGTCCACTTGTGTCATCTCCACTGTTATGCGTTATATCAATAATCTATAATGGTACTGGTCAGTTGAAATATATCAAATTCGTATATAGGATGTCCAAGAAGTAGGACATATAACAATGTCTCCATATTATGAGTCATATAACAATTTAAAGCCCATCCAAAGTCACATTAATTTGCCAAGTATCATGGTTCAACTCGCAGTTCTGAAAAAGATGACGTGTCGCAAAAAGGTGGCGCATTTGTTTTTTAAGGGTATCGCGTGAATGTAACTTTGATTCCCCGGATTATAAGATAATATTCTAATTAAAGTTATATATCATTTTAAAGCTGTTTCGATGAAGATTTTAATCAACTACACTCCGTTCACATTTTTTGCGCGTTCGTTTTTAAAAAAGAGTTTTTTACCAAAACATCTGGCAAATATCCCATGTTGACACGTTACATTTTGAATTATTTTTCGTCTTTAAACGCTCATAACTCAAACAATATATGACTATTATACTTATTTTTCGTCTTGATAAAGGTAGATGGAAGTTTTATTTCAAAGGATGAATTTTAGTAAGCGTCCCATATTGTGACGTCATAGAGTCTGAAAAATAGAATCTGTTGACAGCGACCTTTTTTGCTCATTTTTTGGTACCTTCAACTTTTCAGGTGTACATAAAACAAAATATACGAGATCAATTTTTAATAAATCATACATGATTATTTTGCTCCTAAACTCTAGTTTATTAATAAATAGTTCATTTTGTTCACAAAAGTATGTGTTTTCTGTTGTATGTGGAAAAGTGGAGGACGAAAGGTTTTCAAAATTCATTAACATAGGGCTAATTTAAGCCATTCGCCTATTTTCAAGCACAGCAACACGTATATTTATTTCACCTAAAATATCAATTGATTCGTGTTTTATGATGCTCCTAACCCATTGTTAATACATATACAATATCAGATTTATTCGCCTTAAATATTTTGAGATATAGAGGCAAAATGTGGAGGACGAAAGGATTTCCATAAGTGTTCATTTTTCTCAAAAACGTCACATTCTATCATGTTAAAAGCGAGGATCCTCTGGATTATGCCACAAAATGTGTAACAATGCGTGCGCGAGCTTTTTGCGACACGTCATACAAGCATTTCAAAACTTAATGTTAAGTAAAATTAAAGTTCAGTTTAGTACCATGGAAACATGTCTGACCTGAGTGTGACTGAAACTATGGGTGTTTTCGTCAAGGGTAGGATGGATATTTAGTTGGAAAAGAGAACGGTGAGTGCAACTACTCCAAGGAAACTCTTCTAAATACAAATGTTCTATGAGGATTACAAAATACCAAATGCCTATATTTGTGGCGCTTTAGAAGGCATATCCGAAAGTATTGCTGCTGTCAACCTGGCCAATAGTGCAGTCATTTATGACAATAAAACCCTTGAATTGCACCATTTTTTGACCAAAGTATCATTATTACATATATTTATGAAATCCACCGAAGTGGTGTCAAAAAGTGGCCCCAGTGGATAATAACAGGCTTCGAGAATTTTGCATGTTTCCATTGAGCCCCATGTTAATTCATCAATCTTCAAAAGACCCCCTTCAGAACAGTTCAAGAGCAATAAAGTCAATCTTCCTTGTATGTAACTATGACCCAAATGTCTTTAAAATAAGAAGGTTTACAGGCGAGATTTTGTCTAGTTCAAAAGATATTGGTGTTTGAATTTGGAAAATTCCCATTGACTGCCATTATGAACTACTCTCAATATGGCTTTACTAAAGGATCATTTTCTCCAAAAGTCCACAATGGAATTTTCTGATGTTTCAGATTTCTACAGCCAATATATTGACTTTCAAAAAAACAAAACAGGCACATTTCTAAAAATTTCTAATTTTTAATGTATCTAGTTATTAAGTTGCTCACGAAAACACAATTGAGCCCCATGTTAATTTATCAATCCTCAAAAGATCATCTGCAGAACAGTTCAAGAGCAATAAAGTCAATCTTACTAGTATGTAACCATAACTTGAATGTCTTCAAAATAAGAAGGGTTACAAGTTGGATTTTATCTAGTTCAAAATATATTGACGATTGAATTTTGGGAAATCCCCATTGACCGCCATTATAAACTACTATCAATATGGCTTTACCAAAGTGTCACTTTCTCCAAAAGTTCACAATCGAATTTTCTGATATTACAGACATCTAAAGCCAATATATTGAGTTTTAAAAAATCAAACTGGCACATTTCTAAAAGTTTTGATTTTTAATATATCTAGCCATTAAGCTGCACATGAAAACGCCTATTGGCTGCCATTATAAACCGCAGTCAACATGGCTTTACTAATGAAGTGCAATTTTCTCTAAAAGTCCACCATTTCTCTGATATTGCAGATTCCTATTTCTATAAATCAGAAAATTTCATAGTGGACTTTTGGAGAAAAGTACACTTTATTCGTAAATCCATGTTTATAGCAGTTTATAATGGCAGCCAATGTGGACTTTCGGTCAACTTAATGGCTAAATATGTTAAAAATAAGAAAGTTTTAGAATTTTGCCTGTTTGGTTATTTAAAAGTCAATTTATTGGCTATAGAAATCTGCAATATCAGAAAATTCCATAGTGAACTTTTGGAGAAAATGACACTTTAGTAAAGCCATATTGATAGAAGTTTATAATGGCGGTCAATGGGAATTTTCCAAAATTCAAACACCAATGTCTTTGGAACTAAACAAAATCAAGCCTGTAACCTTTCTTATTTTGAAGACATGCAAGATATGTTTACATACCAGAAAGATTGACTTTATTGCTCTTGAACTGTTCTGCAGGGGGTCTTTTGAATATTGATAAATTAACATGGGACTCAATGGAGTTTTCGTAAGCAACTTTATAACTATTTTGGAAATAAGAAATTTTTAAAAATGTGCCTGTTTTGATTTTGGAAAGTCATTATGTTGGGTATAGAAATCTGCAACATCAGAAAATTCCATAGTGAAGTTTTGGAGAAAATGGCACTTTATTAGTAAAGCCAAGTTGATAGCTTTTATAATGGCAGCCAATTGAAGTTTTCGTGAGCAACTCAATGGTTAGATATATAAGAAATAATGAATTATTAGTGCCTGTTTGTTTTTTTAAAAGTCAATATATTGGCTATAAAAATCTGCAATATCAAAAAATTCCATGGTGGAATTTTGGAAAAAATGACACTTTAATAGAGAGCAGTTTATAATGGCGGCCAATGGGAATTTTCCAAAATTCAAACACCAATATCTTTGGAACTAGACAAAATCCAGCTTGTAACCCTTCTTATTTTGAAGACATTTAAGTCAAGGTTACATACAAGGAAGATTGACTTTATTGTTCTTGAACTCCTCTGCAGGGGGTCTTTGATAAATTGATTGATAAATTAACATTGAACTCAATGGAAACATGCAAAATTTTCGAGCCCTGTTATTATCCACTGGGATTAACACCACTTCGGTAGATATCAAAAATATATGTATTAATGATACTTTGGTCAAAAAATGGTGACGTATATATAGCAAGTGCAATTAAAGTGCTAACTGCCTGCACTACAAGGGAAACTATATTTTGAAATGCTTGCATTTTTTTTATATTTGTGAATTGAACCATGACCATGAACCGCGCCCTCGTGGTCAGCCCTGCTTTTCCTAGCAGTGACCAACCACATACACACGGTCGCAAAGGATAAATCAATGCTTTGATCCCACATCTGACACCAATGCAATTACCCGAACAGATATAACCATCTGAAATTTTGTGCTATAACATATATGTACATTTTATTATATTCATAAGTCAGTATGTGCTTGAAGACAAATATTTTGTATTTGTACTAATTTTAGGTAGCAACTAAAGACAATCAGAATGAAACCATGCAAGGATGTAATGACCTTATATTTGACTACCATGGTAATCTATGGATTACTGCACCATATGGCCCCATTGCCCCACACAACTTTAAACTTTCATATTCAGAAAAGGTAATATTCATGACATAAGGTGTACCTCAGAGACGGCGTACAACCAATCTAGAATCACGATGTTGTACTCCATAGACCTACCGGTTTAGCTACGGGAATATAACTATCTAGGAAGCGGGATGGACATTTCTGTGCATAAAGTATCCGTCTATCACCGCGGTTCAGAACATCCAGCTGTGTCTATTCCAGTCTCACACCATATTTTCTTATTTTTCACGCCGCATAGTCACTAGGAAATATATGGAGATTATCCTATATGAGGTTCAGGATATTGGGATTATCCCGAGGCCGATATAATATATCTAGATATATTAGCCCAGCCGGCGGGGCTGAGATTTTACTAATTATTGTTTCTATAAGATAAATAAAAAATACTCAGCGTGAAACTATAATACAATATTCAACTACTATGTGCTTAGAGTACCATTTAGGCTTGTGAATAACTAATAGGTCAGTTTTGTCGTTCTTGGAAAGTGGAAACAAATGATTTTGTCGCCCGATTAGCTTTGTGGGTTATGCGATTGGTCACCTGACACTGTCCTTCTTCCTTGCTCTTGAAAATATTCAATCATCTTGGGTAAACACAATAGATTCCTTCTAAACCAAACATGTTGTCAATACCTCTTGTCAACCCAATGTCGTTTTATTTCATAGAAGGTGAATACCAATGGACATTGTATCTTCAAGCCAAAGATAGAATTTTTGAAAAAAGCATGCCATACACCTCACAGCAGATAAATTATTGACTGAACTTTCCGTGAATTTTAGATAAGAAATAAATGGTCTGCATATAATTAATACATGTTCAATTTTTTGGACCACCCTGTATTTATTCTTATGTTTAACAAAATATTCATTGTAACGCGTGGTTGACATGTTGATATTAAACAGCTAGTATGCCATTGGGAATATTGTTTTTTATTTCTATTTTCATTCACAAAATTTTAAGAATCCATTTGGGAGTGTGTACTGCTATAATACGACAACTAATGGGATTATTAAAGTTGCCACTGGAATCCTATATCCTAATGGTATAACTGTACAACATGATAGCAATGGGACTCCGAAGAAACTAATAGTTGGGGCGTTTTCCAATATAACCGCACCCCTATGGAGCTTTGATATAGTCGGCCCTTGTCAACTTGAAAACAAGCAAGTTTGGGGAAACCTACCTGGTGAGTCTGGTGTCTTGAACGCAAAGTCATTTATACGAGAATAATGTATTTGCTGAAAAATATCTAATCCGATGTAGAATTCAATGTACGTTTATCTCAATACATGTTGTCTTATCTCTTGTCAAAACTTCGTAATGCAATGTCATTATGCTATGGAATTTTCTGATTGTATTATATTGAACTAGCTGTAAAGGTGTGAGTTAACTAGCACACTGTTCATTGCTTTTAATTATAGCCAAAAGTAATATAGATGGTATTGATTTTGATGAAAAGGGGAACCTTATAGTCACAGAACATGGTTCTAGTATGCTGTTCGTCTTCGACCCAAATGGAGGTGCTCCGACTTGTCAATTAAAGTTGCCAACTACGCGTGCGACCAATATACAGTTTAGGCCTAACTCAAATGAGCTCTACATTACCGGAGATGCATTATTGAAACTACAATGGAAATACAAAGGAATGAAGCAATATTGGGAGATAGCTTAAAGTGTAAAAATATGTACTATAAAACAAGATTAATGTTGAGCAAATAAGAGTTTTACAGTGCGTTTGTAAATGCAAAATGATGCAATTTGTCAAGGTTTAGATATACCATATTTGAAAGGTGTAAGTATCAGGATCTTGGTTGCTTACATAGGTTTACTGTTAACGAAAGTGTCCCATTAAACATTTAATCACTAAGGAGTTAAGTAAGTAAATTGATTTATATCATTTCAAACTTCATTTAAAATTATTGTAATAAAATCTTTCTCGGGCCAGGGGTGAATGTATAAGTATAGCTTGAGGGATTTATTTATATACCAGATTTGAAAGGTGGGAATATCGGGATCTTGGTTGCTTGGGTAGGTTTACTGTTTACAATAGTGTCCCATTAAACATTTAATCACTAAGGAGTTAAGTAAGTAAATTGATTTATATCATTTCAAACTTCATTTAATATTATTGTAATAAAATCTTTGTCGTGGCCGGAGTAAATGTACGATAAGTATAGTTTGAGGGATTTATTTATATACCAGATTTGAAAGGAGGGAATATCGGGATCTTGGTTGCTAATGAGGTTTACTGATCTAACTAAACAGTGGGCTGGCTCCAGGAAAAGATGGACTGGACTCTCGGCCATCTTTTACCCCCCTATCACACTAAACTAGTTCTTACCCGTTCTTGCCAGTCCTACAAAAACGTCGTTAAACGGGCTCAATCTTGCTGTCGTCGGGAAATATGTCTAAAATAATTCATACACTTCTTCAACACGTCCATCTCATTCGTAGTTCGTTCAGGTCACACCACGTCGGTGTGCAACGTCGTATAACGCGTCCCTTAGTCTAGAAGGTCATCATGACCTGATTACAGAACGGTATGGTCGCCATCGAATTTTGAATCATTTCAAAATTCTAAAATCACCTACCAGTCTGAGAACGTTCATGAAGTTCGTAAATAGTCCTTAGAAAAGTTGCAGCTACGTTCATTCCGTTCGCACACAGTTTAAAACTAGTTTTGAAGAACGCAGTGGCATCTTGTTTGATGTGATAGCTTTATTTTTGCTAACTCGTTCATAAGCAGTCTTTAATACGTTCTTAATCAGTTTAAACCCGTTTGCAATTAGTTCTACCTCGTTCTCAATACGTCATCAGACAGTTCAACTCGTTGTAAAAACGTTTCTAGTAGGATTGAAGAACGACGGTTCCGTTCGTGGTATGTCCAGCTCCTCTTAGTACGTTGTCACTCGTTCTAATTGTAGAACGTGACGACCACAAGAGCATTTTGAGCATGTTCTAAGTTCTAGAGGACCTACCCGTTCAAGTACGTTTGATGAAGTTTGTAAATAGACCCCAAACGGTTCTAAGTACGTCCAGTCCGTTCGTACACAGTTGAAGCCCGTTTTCGAGAACGTAGTGAGAACTAGCTTGGTGTGATAGTAGGGTTAGACATTACTTTACAAAATAACTAAAAAGTGGACTTAACCCTCTATACTCCATTATGGGCCACACTTTAAGTTTTCTGTAAGTATTTTGACTAAAAGATGGCCTCAAGCAATACATATCTAAAATTGAATTTAACCAATCAATATCATTATCCCAGCAAATGAAGTTCGATAGGGATGTCATGAAGCCCTCCGTTTGTCAAGTCCTTTTCCAAAGCACAATAAAAAAATATGTGGATTTTTAAAATAATTTATTTTCAAATTAAAAAGATGGAATTTAGAAGGTTTGACCACCGAGGGTCGAGCACAGACACACTTAACATGAGTAGCGGTATGAATATACGGTGTTTATCTGAAATATAGCTTTGTTACATGCAAGAGGAAGGCATTTTAGTGTAGATTGGAGAGCAGGGGCGTAGTCAGCTTTCAGTCAGGGGGTTCCGATCGCCAAATTTTATTTCGGTTTCAGTCAAGGGGGTGGCATAATCGTGGCATAAGCAAGGCAAAACAAAAAAATAATATTTGTTTTGAAAAAAAAAATTAATGCCAAAAAATGTGCTCAAAATTGAGATAGAAGCTTAAAAAGTGTTTTAAAGCTCTTTTCTTCCACTATCTAATGGTTCTATTTTTTTGGTTATCGAGGGGATGCGACCCATCACATCCCCCCCCCTCTGGCAATGGAGAGTATATCCCCGGCTGCCCTTTCATATGTTTAACAGTCCAGGGTCCATAAATCTTTTTACCAAATAAGTAAAGAGCTACACGATTACACGATTTGTGACGACACGATTACACCATATAGTCCTCAAAAATTCTAATTTTCAATGATTATCTATGGATTAACACCCAGGTATTTTAATTTTTCAAACGTTGATTTTCAGTTAACTGTCGATTTTCCGGTAGATTACTTGTAATCAAAATGATTTTATGGAACGTTCACTAATTTCCTGATACGTATATTTTCACGTTTTTATGAGACATCTCAAAGACCCTAGCTGAAGAGATGTCTTGCTGTCACAAACCATTTTCACACAATGTAGTGCTTTTTCATCCACTATGGATCCATCTCGGATCCATAGTCACTAGGTTAATTTGGTATATGTTCAATTGTGAAAGACAGGGTAGGAGAACTGATGGACAAAGGGCCTCCTGAAAATGGATACAGTAAGGATGTATTACTGAAGAATATGAGGAAAGTGCTTAAATGATTACGCAATGCTGAACCTTTCTTTGAATCTTCATTAAAATAATATTCATCGAGATTAGTGCTTTCGAGCAGCAAGTGGTGGCCGTACCAACTACTAACAATCGGCTGTTAATCTGTAATATTATATCATACAAAGGTGAAATTTCCCAAGTAACTCCAGAATTGAATTGTCTTTAAAATGGGATATGACACACGATGTAACATTAAGTACATTTTGCTGTAGAGGGGAGTGCTGTTGTTTTTTGACAATTATGTGTTATTTTTATTTTATTTTTGTGGTTATTTTATTTGGGAGAATTTAAACACTTTTCTCCCAAGTTTTCACTTTGAATCCCTTATATCTCTACAAAATAACACATCTCGGAGACTCGGATCCTAGGTAATTTATACACTTTACGAGTATTACGGTATGATAGTAATTACTCTAAAAGTTTAAGTAAATCAATTGTTTGATTACAGTGACAATTCTATTTTTAAGGTAATACTCGGTATAGTATGTTATGACAAAGAGAAACTTTTAAATATATCACAGAAAGTGTACATAATGCATAAACAGAGACAACTGCTGTTAAAAAATGTCCAATTTCTGTCCATTACCTACTCTTTTCTAATTTCTGTGTGATGTTTTTACTTTTTAATAAAGTATTGTGTAATAATGTGAATGTAACTGCATACATGCATGCATACATACATACCCACCTTGTGAGATAGTTGAGCTTGGCAATTTTACCCCAAATTACATTAAAACAATATCAATTATCGTAATTGAAATTGGTAATACTAACTAATAGTACAATAACGTCATTTCAAAGGGCAATATTTCACTATTTTGCCCGCAGAAATGACGTTATTACTATTATTACCACCGTTAATGCCAAGGGCTGAAATATCAAATTTGAAAAAGAAAATCTTACGCACTGAACGATATCACTTTTCCCGGGAAACATAGTCGGGCGGATAATGTCATTATTGCCCGACTAAAGTCATTAACGCCCGACACAATATTGCTCACGTCAATATAGCAATTTAAATGCCTTCTCAACTAGTACTAAAACCCCTAGAACAGGCCCTGCAAGGTGGTAATAATATCTTTTTGACTCACTTATTAATGCTACTTGCTTTGACAAATACACTCGTAACTCATTTACTGTTCAAATGAAGGTCATGATAACAAATAATGTATTTATTTATTGTATTTGAATTATGCAAATTATTTCTAGTTCATTACAGGAAGTGAAATCGCATGTTTTCACTTTACACCTGATAATTGGACATTTACAGGATGAAAACCGGTTGGGTCTTCGTTTGCATGACACTTTTGGAGTTTGGTAAGTTGCAACATTATTTCCTATCATATATTGACGCATTTTGGCCTTAAGAAATATTTGGAAAATCAAGGAACCGACATTTAAAATACAGTTATGGCTATTATTTTGAGGAAAAATATATTTTGTGAGGGGCATCATTCCCCGCATCATTCATGGTATCTACCATGTCTTTTCGTAGCTTTAGCAATATCCAAAGTGATTGAATGTTGCTTAGCTTATCTTCTTTTCAATATGGCTGTTACTTGAACGATACTACTTAGGGCACTTCCTGCAGTAGTTTTTGGTTAAGTATGTATTAGCAATATATCTAGTGCAGAGCGGTGGAGATAAGGTTTTGACAAATCGTTTACACGCAGTAAAACATATTTAATGTGATACCCAAAATAAACGAAAATTACTCCTTTTCTTGCATTGAAAAAAAAATAAAGTAAAAATTAAGAAAATTCATTTTCCAATAATGACATGATGTGCTCCGCATAACCTCGAATGAATGGGTGATGGTTTGCTCTAAAGCTAAACATTTAAAATTCTTAGACTTATTGAGTGAACTTGCTCTAAATGGCCTTCGTCGGAGTGAAATGTCAGTTGTGCTTCCTCTGGTGTGTTCGAGCGTTAACACCAGCTGCCTCTAGTCAGATCAACTGACAAAACAACCTTTTTTTGGGGTTGTCAAGTTGGCCGAGAGGGCTTGAGCGCTGGTGTGAAAAAATGGATGGTCCCCCAGGGATTATGGTCCCCTTTCTTAACGGCCCTTACTGGCCCTGATTATGTATAAGATAATGAGGGAAAGAGTTGTATTTAGGTCACCATATAAATTAATGGAGAGTAGGACCATAATTTGATAGGACATCCTACCCTTTTACACCGGCATGTTCGAGCTAGGCGATTGGGTGCCGTAACTACGAGGTTGCGAGTTCGAGACACATGTGGTCCTTGTGTTTATTCATTTTAAGACATTTATGATAGATAATTGTCAGTCAGATAACTAAATTTCAAAAATGTTCCTTTGATCAAACACAGTGTCAGATAACTTAATTCAAAAATATTGATTCATCATCAGAGTTATTTTATATTTGTTTCGGTGCGATTCATTTTGGGACAACCTGTATATATATGCACGAAATTTCTCATAAAATATATCATGGTAAGATGGCTCTCTATGTTTTATTTTCAGGATTAACATCAAAATATAGACCATGTAAAGCGAGATGCAGATCTCTAGGTCTACGGAAATGTTTCAAGATATGCAGAATTGCAACAGTATGTTTATTTTAATCTTTTTGTGAGGTCGCATCTGGAAAATGGGTGAATGCATATTTGTTTTCATACAGGAGTTAACAATGGCGTCATGTTTTCATGAATTTATTTGCGTTTCAAGATTGATTGTGTATTGAAGTATCCATATATGTTATCACATTGTTCATATAATTACACACAACTGCGACAATAAAATAAGGAAGTACCTATACCAGTGAGATCTTGTCAAATAGCCTGAAAATGTCTAAAATTAGTTTCTAGCCGACGTTGGCACATTGTGCAAAATGAGTGTTTATTCTGTAGCGATCCTCACTCTGCGTGGTAAGCGCAAAAGGTAGTGGTAGCGTTAAAGGGTTGATGAGTGAGTGGAAGAATCGTCACATTATTACCGGGTCCGTGTTATGATTGTATATGCTCTCGAGGGTTTTACAGACATGACTGGTTGAATGGCAAAATGGCTGAATATGTCGCACTGCGACATAAAACATACACCTAACTGACAAAACAGATGATTTAGTTTAAATATAAATGATAACATAATTATGGGTTTATTTACAATGTGATTACAAAGTGAGTATAGTAATTATGACAATTACACACATAGTGTGGAAATATATATATATGAATAAAAGTTCTGATATTGTGATACCTGAATGATATATGGTGCAGCGTTACTCAATGGCAACGGGTACCCATATTCAAGGATAATGCACAAAGGTGGATCGTTATGCAACTAAGATCCCTGAAATGTGGTTACGATAATATACATAGTATTTCCTATCAAGTACAATACATACTTAAGTAAGATTACATAATTACCAAGAAGCTGATATTGCAATTACACATTATTGAGCTCATATTCATAACTTCTACATTGAATACACATATAACATACAATACTTTCATCTGGGAGAGTGTGTGACACAACTGGTGACCAAATAAACATACATGGCAATAGGTATTACCATGACTTTGCAACAACCTATGACAATGAGAACAACAACAACTGGCACCTTGGAGTGTACGACATGACGCAAAGAACCGAATTACAACCACAGACAAAATATAAGACCGACTAAAAATATCAACGTAACATTCCTTATCACAAGCTTGGGTGAAACATACCAAATAATGACTATAACAATAACTTGTACAACATTTGATTCAACATACCAATTAGTGATAACAATGTATACATGACTGCTCATTATGTAACATGCTAGGAAAATTAATGTCATATAACATGTGGGTGCAATCACATGACATGGATATACATGTCACGTAACTAGTGGGCGCCTGCTATGAAACATGCCGACGCGTGCTACATGACATATGGGTGCGATTACACATCATGTGAATACATGCTATGTAACAAGTGGGTGCATGTTATGTAGTAAGTGATCAATCATGAACATGAGTAAAACTGTATACCCAAGTTGGTAGTAGTACATCACCAACTTATAATATTCCATGACACAACATAAGGGTGGGTGCAACAACTTGTATTCCCTTTGGTAATATTGGGTGCAACAAATTGTATCTCCCTAGGGTGGCTTTGGGGAAAGCCATACATGCATACAGTATATAAATTATAGTACGACCTTAACGCAACGATACAATAAAACCGACACTCCAACCATCGATAAACAATAGAACAGTTCAAGTTCAAAACTAGTATCAGGCTAGACCATAAACTAGGGTTCCATTAGGGTTTAACTCAACACCATCATCTATCTGACACTAACTGTTGCCCAACAGTAAGACTTGAACTCCATAAGCCGACTATATACAAGCGAGACATTACGTAACATACAGCTGCACAGGGTAGTTTGCAGTGTACCTAAACATGATCAATTTGGGTATTGATCATCAACAATGAAAGAAACTGACATGATTAAACTGGGTATGTTGATCATCAACCATGTAAACCAAATATGGGTCAAATAATTCCAATGTGCTTTTTAGCATTAACAAGTCAAATCCAAATCCAAATGTAATACTTGCCAATTTGTCACACTCGATACATAGAGTGCTTACAGCTTGAAATGAGGTGTAGGGTGTCCATCCACATGAGGTATTTGCATCAGCATATGAGTGGTTGGTTGTTGGTGGTATGTAGTTCGCCATTTGACAGACGTGCTGACATTTGAAAATCATGCGGGAGGGGTGAACCTCAAACTTCAAGCTTGATTTGGGGGTCAGACTTCGTGCAGATCCTGTTGTAATCACCTCATGTGGACAGACGACTTACTGGTGTAAATCGTGAGACAGTTTAGACACCTCGACGGTCAACAATTGCGACATTTTGAGTGAAGATAGCGGAGCAAATCACGAATGATTTACTCGAAAAACATAAGATGGCTACCTGTCTTCTGCGCATGCGCAGCGACCTACATAAATTACGAACTTATGTAAATCCACAAAAACGGCCATAACTTCGCCAATACGAGACCGATTGCAAAGTTTAAACTACCTATAGAGAGCTTAATTTACGTATTAAGTGCATATCCTACTAGATTAACGATAAAACATAGTAAACAGGGTGAAATTTAGACCAGAAAACTACGACAGTAACCTTTGACCTTGTTACGTCAAAAGTACGAACGGAACTAAGAATAGTTCGAAAATTACGCAAAAGTACGAACGGGAGCAACAATATCCACAAATTACTAGAATAGGACACTTTAGTGGATAATAACGATCTAAACATGTATGTGAATATATAAACTACATTAAGTGAAACCCAACAGTGGTGAGACATCGAACTGACATTACTGAATAGCGGCAAACAAGAAAGTAAATCTGTTGGGTTATCACAATTCTGCCAAACATGACCAGATGTGCATAAATGACATATCATTGAAAAGGAGTATGCAAAAGGATACACCTGAAATATCAAACACAGCGAAAAATGGTGTAATATCCTATAGTTTCCGTACGTATCGCAAATCCCGGATATTTGAGGTATCCTTGAATAACCTAAAATATACCGATACTTCGAACATCCGGAAATATCCTCAAAGGGATATTTTTGGATACTCCAAGTTTCCAACTTTCAACATAACCGAATTAAGGATATTTCAGGATAGTTGACTACCCTAGTATCCAGAAATTTTTTTAAGTATCCGGAATATTGATTCCTGGAAATTATGCTAGTACATAAATTATAACGTTCAATTAACAATTTTAGTGTCATTGAAACATTTGTTTCGCCATATAGAATGTGGAATATCTTGTATGAATTTCTGCAGTGAAACAACATTCTCCTCGTGATATCTTAACTGCTCAAAATGGCTGCCATCGAAAAACTTGTGTTTGGGAAATTCAGACATATGTAAGACAGGAAATTCATGATGACCGAAGATTACATCGTCAATAAGCTGATCTTCGAAGAAAAGTTTGCTTCTAAGCATGGAAGATAATATTAAATAAAGTTCCTGGGATATTGTCTAAAATATATCTATTCTTAAATGTTAAGGTTTTAAGTTATATTCTTTTCAAATTCTATTACTGTTAAATCATATATCTGCTTCATATGGGCTTATGAGCCTTTTGCAGATTATCGACATAGACATAGACACCGATACTTCGAATATCCGGAAATATCCTCGAAAGGATATTTTTGGGTACTCCAACTTGTGTTTGTTTGGGAAATTCAATCAACGATTTCATCGACAATAAGCTGCGCTTCGAAGAAAAGTTTGCTTCTAAGCATGGAGGGTATATTAACGTTTATAACAACTAAAGTAGAAACAACATTTCCTTCATGTCAACTGATTTGTTTCAATAATACCGTGAATCTGTCGAATTTTAGCTTGTACATTTCGTAGTTTTCTCATTATATCTGGCTTCGGTCGTACTTTCAAGATATAAACGTGAATTCATCTTGTAGAGAATCTTATGAACTTTACTAGGAAACTTTTGTTTACTACATTTCGATATTCGTAGACACTGAAAATGGCTTTTAAATAAGGTAACAAACACAAATATTAGTCGCCATTAAAACATTGCAATCAAACCGGAAGTTTGCTCTCTGACGTCCGCGCGCTATCAATAAATTGAGACGAAATATCGTTACAACTTACAGCGTTATCAATGCCCCTAATTTAAACATCGAGCATTTTCCTACAAGTCGAAATTCAAATTATTGAACACACAATGATCAGCATGGCAGCCACATCAGTTCCTAAGTGAAGAAGGACGTCAAGTAGGAGATGTAAAAGTAGCAGAACAGCCTAAGTACATCGATGTGGTCATTGTTATACATCCTTGTGATCAGATGTTTTAATGCTTACGCCTATCGTACATCTCATTTGTATTGATGAGATAATAAACTGTACGTATTTAAATGCGTCATTTCGTGTTTAGTTTGTTAGGTAATATGAACAAAAATCTCCTTGCAATCCCGACCGTATTCGTGAATATCTCAAAAATATTACGAACTGTATCCCTAAATATCCCGGAAAATTGTTGAATATTCAGCTATATTTGTGAGTATTCGAATCATATATTAGTCATACCCCTAAGAATACGCGAAAAGACGTGATGTATATCAGTAGTATCCAGAACTATGGATATTTCAGGATACCAGTGTTCCGTCTCTCACTAATATCCGTGAATCTCCAAAATCGCGATACTTAGAGTATTTGTCACGGATTCTTAAGGATACGTTCCATATCACTATAATATTTCGCAAATATCCAGGCAGGATATTGTATCATTTTTCGCTGTGAAAAACCATGACGTACTACATTAATAATTCCAAATAGCCGTCGATGTATGTGTGCTCAAGGAACATTATCAGAAACTAAAATTACCAAAATTAAAAAGATTTGAGACACTTAACTCCTCGATCTGATTAATAACCCATTCCCAGCAAATCTCAAAGACGGGAACGGGAACGGGATAAATAGATTTCTCAAACCCACTTATCGACAGCAATGTATAGGGTGCTGGGATTAACCAGATTCTAAAATCAATTTATCCCAATTTTTTCGCAATCACACTGGGACAAAGCGATTTTAGAAAATGCTTTATCAAGCGCAACATTGAATGATTTACACCGGTGTGAAAGTATTTCTGGTCCTACCTAAATATGGTCCTACGGACCATTATCCCTAGTAAAGATCTAATCTCCTGGGGAATACAGTCCCACCTGCTAGAGTAGGTGGTCCTAATCGGACCAAAATTCCTAGGATTATTGGTCCTGGACCTAAATTCCTGGGGAAATTGGTCCTATGGCTTTTTTCAAGGGAATAATGTTCACTTTGGAAACGGGTTATATTATTTAATATCTATTGAATAGAAAACGATTTAAGATGTATATCTTGTCAACTATTTTATTCTGTTATGCGTATACATGTCATTGCCACAAGTTGTGTGTTTTTTTTTGTGCGATGACCATGAGCTGTGTGATGTTTTTGTGCGATGACCATGAGCTGTGTGGGTTTTTTTGTGCGATGAACAGCATGAAATCTATTAAAAATGTAGCATACAACTAGCTAGCATAGTAATTCCCCAAAAAGATTCATTGAGCAGGTTACTTAATCCATAACAAATAATGTGAAAACACACGACCAGAATACAACTTTTGACTTTGACACTTAAATGAAAGAATTAATAAAAAAATCGAGCAAGAAATGAAAAGGCAAATTTAGCAATTATTTTAGATGTACTGGAATAGGATTCAAACTTTGTACCTGGCGGAATGAAAGATACACAATGGAAATACTATCATAATAGCAAGTACATACAATAACATATACATAAGCTAACAAGTCCAATGCCTTACCAACTGAGCTACACTGCAAACGATGCTGACCAACCAAATCGATGTGTCTATAAACTTAATCACCCGCTTAAAGGGACCACCTACTCTTTTACTGGTGTGAAAGAAATTATGGTCCTACTCTAGTAAATGGTCCTACCCTCTATATGATATTTTAGGACTATTTTCCCTAGGGATTGTGGTCCAACAACAAGCTTAAATTATGGTCCGACTAGGAACACCTACCCTAGGAACCACGGTCCTTCGGACCTTAAAATGGTTTACAGAAAGAGATCTATTTACTTTCACGGTTTGGTTACATTTGTGCAATCAAAGTAACAGGCACCAGGCCATTACACCTTCTCTACAATGTAATGACAATGTTTAATGTATATAGATCCTTCCGAATAAATTGAGTGCTTACTATATTTTATTGATTCTCCCTTGCAAATAAATTGCTCACTACTTGTGATATTTTCTTCATTCTGACAGTCAGTGCTGTGGTATGAATTATTAATCAAATCATAACTCAAACAAATAAAATAAATAAACGTTTTAAAGTCGATTATGACCTTGATATTCCCTTTTACAAACATTTGGATGTAGTAAACCATAAACTATTGTAATGACCACTGCTTTCTATAGATATAACAATTGTTTTGATATATAGTTCAATTAAAACAACAAATATGTTGGCCTGTAGGGTGATACCATTGCTTTGCCTTGTTGGAAGAACTGCTCAGTCTCTATAAATGGTTCAAATGCTGCAAATGACCTTCGTGGATGTATCCAACAATGTAGAGTTGGGAAAACTTGTGAAACTGCTTCTAACAAAAGTAAACCAATAATAGTTACACAATATCTTATCTCTAACATGATCATGGACAGTTTAAGCATGTATTCGCACATGCAATTTTCGGTTAGCAGCTACCGGATTGATTGCAATCTGATGTCAAACTCATTCAAATATGAATAAAACCTGCTATGTAGCTCGGTGACTGATTCGCTAGTTCACAAATTGATGGGTTAACTTAGATGTACACTTAAAAGGCACCATACATCATAAGTAGTTGTAGTAACTGACAGCTGAACTTGAAATAAATATCCTAAGTGGCAACAGAATGCGGAATTAAAGTTTTTACACTCTAATTAAATCAAAGTTGAAAAATCCTTTTAAGCCGGCTTCATCAAAATACTCAAAGACAAAATGCTTCGGGAAGGTCCAGTTTTCACAAAGGATGGGCACTTTTACATTGTTTTACCATTGGCGGGTGAGATCAGCAGAGTTGACTTGGAAAAAAAGCAGGTAAATATTTTCTAAATAACTTTATATCACTTTTACCTTAATGGCTTCCATGAAAATCGAGACACTATTGACTATCTTATGACTGTTTAAAGGTGAAATACAGTTAATCACAAAATATTCTCAAATGGCTTTCTCTCCACGAAGGAGAAAATCACTCAAAAATCACTCAATAATTACCGTTGAATGTTACTAATTATAAATGTAAAACTTTTGTATTAGAATCATGATTACCCCGCCCCCTTTCCAAACTCTAGATAAAATTTCCTATCTTCCTCTACCCCTTTCTTTCAATTTCACTTATTTGATTAATATTTCGTTGCTAGATGGTTACTAGGCAAAATAATGGACCAACTTATAAGTTTTTACAAAGGATGATGAAAGATAAAGCTAAATTTAAGATTGCAAAGTGATTTATTTAGACAGATAGATATAACGATTACCTGTTAAGAACAGACATCATAAAATTTAAAAACTTTGTAGATGAAACATATCCTGCTAAGCTAGTATTGAAAAAGACTAATGAATCTAATATGAGTGCACCTTAGTTTGATCTTCTTACTAACATTGAACTAGACAATAGTATATATTGTAAGTTATATGATAAAAGAAAACAAGGGCGAAACATAATTTTAAAAAATGACCGAAGCTCTTTAATTTTTTATTTTAATGTTAACATAGTAAACTAAACACTTAGCAGCGAAAAAGGTTAGACAATTCATGATCAATTTTCATATGAAAATTCTTTTATATGAATCATTTTGTGAATACATATCCTGAAATCTGATTTGCCCAGAACCCGAAAATTTGGAGGAATTGGACTTAAGAAATTAAATTATTTCAGAGACTTTTGAAAAAAGTTTTTTATTTCTCAAATATGCAAATTTCCTGCCATTTTTCAAATAAAAGTTGACATATTTTAATTATTAAATATTCCACCATACAGTGCAAAACACATTATCTTTTAACAGAAATACGACGATTGAATAAAGCATACATTGTTTCATTAATCAAATGTCATCTGTTTTAAATATGCCAAACAAATCAGGCTGAAAGGAAGAATATATTAAGTTTTAAATATTACTGTAATGTTGGTTTAGGCAAAACACGTTAGGATGAATACTATGAATCGGTGTGAGTTATCTATTATTAAAAGATACTTGTGACCTCTATAAGTTAGTTTCAAAGAAATTCACGGTTTTCGAGCAAAAATGCCTTCAAAAACCGTTCAAAAACGTTTCGCACATCACATTTTGATAAAATTGGGTGAGACTACAATATAAGCCAGTGTTTAAAACTTTATATAGGGGATTCAAGTATTGACATTGCATGACAGGTAAATAAAAATTCAAACATAGAAGATTTAACACGTGATCTTATTAGGGGGTTAACTGTTAACATTGCCAAACTTATGGAGCAGAGTGTATCCGTATGAGTGGTATACAGGGTGTCCCAGAAGTAATGATAATTATACTTTAAATTTTTTATTTCACAAGGAAACAATGTAAAATTTACACAAATTAAAGATCAAGATGTACGTTTCATTTTGCTATATTTCATTCTTTACGATACACAAACATACTCCATGTATGGTTGCCATGGCAACCCATATGCACGTTCTGCGGAGCAACTTAGTTTTCCATACATTTTTGAAAAACATTTCGTGTTTCCCTGTAATTCACATACCTCAGCAGTATTTCTAATTTATTTCTCAGTTGTAGATTCTTCTTTAATATGTGAAATATATTTGACTTTGGAATACTTAAATCATTGAATATTCCCCTCACTGACACACGGTTGTCCTGCTGTATCATTTCTCATACAAACTGGCCGTGTCTTGTTTCTGGTGTGCCAGACCTTTTCTTATCATAAAGTTTCATTCTGCTTTCAGATCCAAACCATTTGTGCTTTCTATACGCAGTTGAGTTGGAAAGTTTTCTCTCACCATATGATTGCTTAAACTCCTTTATATCGTCACTGTGTTTACCCCCTGTCTTTTGAAGGAATTTGATTACTGCTCTCTGCACTAATTTTTCATCTTGCTCAAAGTAGATGGGATAGTGTACACCTCTCTGGAAATTCCTATGTTGTGTTTCCCCGAGAGCTTTCTTTTGTGAAATCCTATATACTGTATATATCTCTTTTGTGAAGCACTATACCATTATACAACAACATCAAATCACCAAAACAATGATTTAACATTTTTTTAAAATATCCAAGGATAACTGCTTTCTACACGAGTTTGAACATTAATATAACATAGTGAAAATGCTCCGCAGAACGCACATACAGGTTGCTATGACCACCATAAATAGAGCATTGTTGTTGTGTTTAGTGATTAATGTGATATTGCAACACGAAGCCTACATCTTGAGCTTTATTTTGTGTGAATTTTATATTGTCTGCTTATAAATAAAAGTTTTAGAGCATAATTATCGTTACTTCTGGGACATCCTTTAGACCTTCTAATATCTAATAATAAGTCAAAATGTCAACGCTGTACTCGTCTATATGACATAAGTGTTGTTCCATAGTACACCCTATTTTGCCAAAAAATCAAGGGGAAATTAATTCAGAAAATACATGTAAAAAACCTTTGCATTAAAGGGAACGCATTGATTTAAGATTTACTATTTTCACAGGCTAGCACGTTTGTTGCCCCATCAGTAAATGGGTTTGATGGCATACCAGCAGGATTACAATGTGACGCGGAGAACAATATTTGGGTTGCTGATGCAAGACTTGGCTTACTGAAAGTGATGCAAAATGGCTCTTTTCAACAAGTAAGAAAGAAATAAGAAAGTGTTTAACATAATTCTAATACAGGGAGATCATTAAGTTCTGGGAATTGGTCTGCCATTTCAAGATTTCTCTACCATTTGAGTTGAAATTTTCAGCAGGTTTACATTGTATAATTCTGAATTGACAAGCAATGTTTCATATACATATCACATCTACGATCTATTTTATTGTAATTACAAAAAAAGTAAAGGTGGTCCGCGGGTCAGCAAATTGTGACTAATGTTAATCTGAGAATTTCCTGCCAAAACATATTCATCTTGCCTAGATGGTTGCTTCAAACTACTTGCATGGCAGAACAGTACTCTTGAAGTCATTTATTCAGGAGTATTCTTCATTGCTGAGAGGATCATTTCATTTATAATTGTTTCCATTAGCCTGGACGCACATGCCTTGTTGACAAACTTAGTCCATAAAGATGTATTCCAGTCCTCCTTTGGTATCCCTTGAAGATTTGCTCAAGCCGTTGAAAGCAGTCCCTTATCGGAATTAAACTTATGACCTCTCATATAATGCTTTAGCACCCAAAATGTAGTGAAGCCTAATGGTGCTTCATCTGGTGAATATTGTCTGGTGAATATTGGGAAGTAATAAGTTGTGTGAACCCTAATTCTTCAAGAGTACTATGGGCAGCTTGAGTAATGGGAAGCATAGTCATAATGGAAGATAACTCCCCGCTATTTTGAGTCATGATTTTGACTTTGAGAGTCTGACGAATAATAAGAAAATAGAGCAAAGTTCACTCTTATATATCACAATACAGGTGTTACTTTAGAAACTAAAGCTAGAAGTATTTGAAAATATGAAAAATCACAGAAATATGTCCACCAAATAGGTATTTATTAACCATACTTTTGGATCAAGTAAAATTTGAATTCATTTTTATTTTACTTGACCCGCTACGACATTTGTCATGTTGCTATAGTAACGACAATTATCCATTGTGACATCAGATGACAATGAGACAGATTAATTACCTACCCAAAATTACATTCCCCATTTACCTTAAAAAATTAAAGTAAATAAATTTTAAGTAAATTGGTTGAAAAATAATGAAATGACAGATAAATTCCCAGAACTTAGTGATCACCCTGTATATACATGGATTGTAACCTGGAGAGCCCATGAATGTATTACACCCATTCTCAAATTTCAGGTCCAAACGCTGTCGCCGACATATTACATAAAAGATATGCATTGAACTAAGGAATGCTTGAAGTGATATTGTAGACATGAATTTACTCTAAAAAGAACACCTAAAATTGAAACGATTTCCATGAAGCCAGAGTTTTTCAAAGTCGTATTTTCTCATTTCGATACTGTCACCGATTAAACGTGCAAGTAAATATGGCGTTGAAATTCTATTTCATTGCCATGACTCATTGCCTTCGTTATTGAGACACCTCCTATGAGATGCAATAACTAATTTGAAAGGGTACTTCTACATTGTAAGGAAATAACCAAGATGTGTTACAATTTAAAACGGTGTATGAAGATTTTAGTAAAACCATGGCTTTTGGCAACCCAATTCAAATGTACTGTTTTTGAAGTAAAATGCATAACTTTCGTTACAGTGGTGTTTTGCTTATAATCCATACCCCATACATAATGTTTTTGTACCATGATAACTGTTATGTCTTACTGATAAATAAAAATACATATGTCACAGTATTTCAACCGAGGCATAATATTCTAGTAAAATGGATTATACTGCCCATTTTTTATATTCGTTATTCACACTTTCGTTACGCAATTTTGCACTAAACAAATAAAAGTACGAAAATAGCACAGAAAGGACATATATGTTTTATAACGGACACAGGGATTAAAGTTTGACATGGCTGGTAAATAAAGAACAGCAAAGCTAGCATGTTATGTACAAATACGCTGATCTTGTATCTGTGATTAACGAAAATAAGTCCTTGATTGAGTAGATGAACCTGATGTGCATTTATTCTCGTTTTAAAGACAATCTTCACTTCATATCTCATCTATATGTTCAGATACAATGTGAAAACATGTGAAAGTTTTCTTGAGCTCAATTTATCATCACAACATTGTTATTTTCGCATTTACAACAGACATAACTTTCGTTACATGTTGGTAACGATGATTATACGATTTTGTTGCTCTACATTTCAGAAATGTATTCTACCAAAGTGCAATAATTATCCATCCTCTTGATAAAGGTTGTTTATAACATTCACCAGAATAAAACCACACCCATTTATTTGATATAATTAGCCCATTGGACATGTTGGATGCTATTATGTTTCAAACAAAATTTTTATTTTTTATTTTTGAGACAAATGAATAAGTTATTACTCGTTTGTAGGATTAATTTGGAGAAAACACCTGATTGACTTTTGTAATTAACAATTGAAACATTTGCATTTTGCCCTGTTAAGAAAGTGGTAATGTATTCCTATCATGGTACCATATAATCTCGGTTATACCTACATGTATACTTCTTCAAAAATAAGATATTTGTCTAAAAGAGTTGTTTTTGCAATTTTGTAATGCAAACACATTTTAGCTGTTCCTTCATAAGCGTTTATTTTTAAGAAAGTCAGTTTTGTACATTTCTTTGACGTTTTGATATAATTTCCATTACAAAATGTTTTTTTATTGTATAAGCTAAATAAAATGAACCTAATTTGTTTGTAAGTTTGGAGGATATATTTTGATGGACTCACAGACACAAAGGGTAGCAACAAAGCATCTATCTCACTTTTGAAATAGTTAAAGTCCCCGTCTAAAGTTTGAAAATATTTTTTTATCATTCATTTACTATTTGTCATGACTTAAAAAGTTATTTTAGATATTTTTGAAAAAAAAATTTTTAGAGAAAAAAGTTGTGAGGATTTTATTTCTCAAATATTCAAATATCCCGCCATTATTCAAAAAAGTTGAAATATTTTAATCATCAAATATTTCTTAATGCATTTCAAAAAAGATTATCTTTTTAATCCCAATGCAAAGATTGAACAAAGGACACACACACGACATTTTTTCTCACAAACGTATATCAGAATCATATGTTTTAGAAAATGTACATGTTTGCGAAAAAATAGCTCAAAAGACAACAGAATCGTTGATTTAATTCCTCACTTAAGTTACATAAACGGTTTGGGTTAAAAGTGCAGATCTTAACTGTTTTTCGAAAAATTGTTATGTAACTTAAGTGAGGAATTAAATCGACGATTCTGTTGTCTTCTGAACTATTTGTTCGCAAATATGTACATTTTCTTAAAGATATGATACTGATAGACGTTTGTGTTAAAAAATGTCTTGGAAATTCTGCCTACAACGCGTGAAATGAGGAAAAGAGAAAAATCGTACCTTCGATGTTCCGACATTTTGTTACCAAAACGAACCGTTTTGGTAACCAGCGTAATCGAGTGGATCACCAGTTACTTTAATATTTTAGCATATCAAAAATATTTTGAAACATTAGTGATGTCACTAAGGTAGCAAAAACTTTTTGAAAAAATTGAATTTGTTTTTTCAATGTCAATCTTTTCTAAATATGCTAGACTTTAATAATAAACCAATGTTGATTGTCTAACAGGTTAAAAGGAAGAATATATTATGTTTTAGATATCATTGTACCATTGGTTTCTATGAAAACTAAAATTTTGAAATGCATTTTTCTCGGAACCATTTTCATGCACTGAGTTCATTTCTCGCTTATTTATGAACCGATTTTCTTATTTTTTTCGGCAAAAAACATTGGAGGATGAATGCTATGCATTGGTATGAATTGTGGCTAATTAAAAGATATTTGTGACCTTTAAAAGTTCGTTTTAAATAAATTCACAAATTTTGGAACAAAATGTCTATCAATAACCACTTTTTGAAATTAAAAAAAAAAAGTTTCACATATCATACTTTGATAACATTGGGTAAGACTACAATATAAGCCAAAGTGGTTTACACTTTATATGGGGCCTTTAAAGGTATCATAAAAGTTTACTTATAATCATCGTTACAGCCATACTCAATGTTATAAATAGACACTGATCATTACAAACAGCTCCATGGAAGTTAGAATTGAGAAATTGTAATGCAAACTTATTAAAATTGTTATTAATTTGTTTCCCACTTGAGAGTCTCGTTTAAAAAACGATAACTTGTTTTGTGACATTGAAGAATGGTAAATGAATTATAGAGACTGTAATATACACCATTCCCACACATTTTTTAAACAGTATAGTGTATTCAAAACGTTTCTATATTGTTCTAAGGTAATGTAATATTTTTAGGAAATCAAATTAGTATACATATACTATCATTGCTTTTGTTCAATTAATTAGTAGAAATAATATAAAAAGTAACGGAGATTTATTTAGCACAATTAATGAGTGTCCCTTCCCTTATATATCATGGTGTATCTCAGAAAATAAGATAGTGAAGCATGAGATATTTTGGAGTATAATACTTTCGACTTTGTTGATTACTTTGGAGGATGAGATTAACCGAAACACAACAGTTACTATTTCAAAAGTTCAAACCTCGAAATGGACCTGAAAATGGACGCCGAAAAATGTGACATTTATAAAACTTGCTAAGGTGGATAATTCATTTAAGGAAGTCATTCACTTACACATGTTTTTAAAATATAATTGTTTTGTTTGCCTAGCTGCGTAGCAAAGTACTTTTTATCATGTTTTGATATAGTTAGTATATTTCTTTAGATTAATTTCTTTTATTTTTCAACAAATTCATAATTTTCTAGCACAAACAAAATAGATTATGATGTTGGTTTAAAGAATTGTTTATAACTATATGCACCTCACTTTGCGCATGAACGCTAATTTTCAAATAGCACACTTCCATTAACTTTTTTATTTACACTAATTTTAGGTAGCAACTAAAGACAATCAAAATGAAACCATACAAGGATGTAATGACCTTATATTTGACTACCATGGTAATCTATGGATTACTGCACCAGTTGGCCCCATTGCCCCAAATAACTTAACAGATTCAAGGAAGGTAATATTTATGGCATTACGTATTCGACTGATAGTGTCCCCTGCCCTGAGGTGGCATGCAATTACTAATTTAGAATATTCCATGGACCTACTGACATTTTTGGTACAAAACGTGTTGCAATATAACGTATCTAGGGAACGAGATGGATATTTCTGTGTATACAGTATCCCTTAGCCTTGCCCAAGTCGGTCTCTTTTACTATCTTGGTTTCTATTATGACCGCCTTGTACCAAAGAGAAAGCCACGTGCTTTACCGACTCAATGTTTATGTCGGTAAAATTTGACCAATCAACGACGGCCCTGCAGCGTCAGCTCATTATTATGCACGGTCAAAAACAAGTACACTTTTTACTTTTCGCCGGGACTTTTCACGAACAAACTTGCATGATTTCATCATGAAAATACAAATATTTTATCAGATAAATATCAATCAGAGTTTAGTGGATGTCGGAGCATCGATCGGTAACCGGAGGTGAGAAGATTTCTTAAATAAACGTTGAAACGATCGCTGAATTCAAATGAACATGTAGGCTGAGATTCAATCACTGATCGACTACATGACCCGATACATTGGACTCGGTCTTGCATTTTCATCGTGAAATCAGTTTTAAATCTATTGCATGATTTAATTTATATTAATGACTCTTACATTCCCTATGTACATTTAATTACATAATATATTGTAACTCTAAAGAAACGATCGATCAGATCATCGGCATTGAATTTCAAATCGGGAAGATTGCTTTGCTTATGCAGGTCAACCTGATAACGTTTTTGATTGGTCAATCAGCCTGAAGTCACACGTCGTGTCCAGACTGTCCACGCGTATATCTGTTAATCAATAAGGTTTCGCGATACCCCTGATAGCGTAGGTATTATGGAAATCTCGAAACCGTTGAATAACTCTGCATAATATCAGCGCAGGTGTATTGGATTGTACAAGGCGGTAATAATTCAAGATCAGATAAGTAAAAAAATACCGACTTTGGCAAGGCTAAGTATCCCTCTTTCACCGAGGTTCAGGTCATCCAGCTGTGTTCATTCCTGTCCAACTCCGCAATTTTTATTTTTTGAGAAACTTTATTACAATCTTAATACGAAATCTTTCACTACTTTGAGAAAGTTGTTTAAAGTCACCTAGTTCTCAACTGGCTAGACTGCTATGATTCATTCTTATATTTCACAGTACAGTTGTTGTAATGCGTGTTGGTCTTTCATATGTTGGCATATGTGCTCATATATTTTTGTCTGTCCTGCCACCTGTCCATCCATTAGCTAGATCCTTGAAACTAGAAAGGCACTTTTGTGTTCATTCCTGTCCAACTCCGCAATTTTTATTTTTTTGAGAAACTTTATTACAATCTTAATACGAAATCTTTCACTACTTTGAGAAAGTTGTTTAAAGTCACCTAGTTCTCAACTGGCTAGACTGCTATGATTCATTCTTATATTTCACAGTACAGTTGTTGTAATGCGTGTTGGTCTTTCATATGTTGGCATATGTGCTCATATATTATTGTCTGTCCTGCCACCTGTCCATCCAATAGCTAGATCCTTGAAACTAGAAAGGCACTTTTTGGGTATGGGATCTTGAATGTAAGATAATCAGTGAGCTGCGAGCCTTGGTGCGCATAGTTGATATGTTAATATTGAAAACCTAGCATGCCATTGTGATAATTGTTTCATTTATTTCTATTTTCATTAACATCATTACCAGGATCCATTTGGAAGTGTGTACTGCTATAATATGACAACTAGCGAGATTATTAAAGTTGCCACTGGAATCCTATTTCCCAATGGTATAGCTGTGCAACATGATAGCAATGGGACTCCGAAGAAACTAATTTTCGGGTCGTCATACAATATAACTGCCCTCTTATGGAGCTTTGATATAGTTGGCCCTTGTCAAATTGAGAACAAGCAAGTTTGGGGAAACCTTCCCGGTAAGTCTGATATCTTGAAAGCAAAATCATTTATATGAGAAAAATGTACTTGCTAAAAGGGATCTGATCCGATGTATAATTTAATGTAATGCTATAGAAATTACTGATTATCCTATAAAACTAGTTGTGAAGGTGTTAGTTACCAGTTCAATGTTCATTTCTACTTAAAGCCAAAAGTAATATCGATGGTATTGATTATGATGAAAAGGGGAACCTTATAGTCACAGACTTTGGCTCTAGTATGCTGTTCGTCTTCGACCCAAATGGAGGTACTCCGACTTGTCAATTAAAGTTGCCAACTACGCGTGCGACCAATATACAGTTTAGGCCTGACTCAAATGAGCTCTACATTACCGGAGATGCATTATTGAAACTACAATGGAAATACAATGGAATGAAACAATATTGGGAGATAGCTTAAAGTGCCGAAGTATTTATTATAATAAAAAGCCTAAGGTTAAGCAAACAAGACCCTTATTGTTCGTTTATTAATGAAAAAATGACGCAGTTTTCAAAGTTCCAATATATTATATTTGGAATATGTGACGAACAGGATTTGGGTTGCTTACGGAAGTTTGTACTGTTAACGACATTGTTGAGTAAAACATTTAATCACCAGGGAGATAAGTAAGTGACTTGCAAGTTCATGTCGACCTCTACATTACTGGAGATGCATTTTTTATAACTAGCAATCTACCCGTTCGAGTAGGTCACCACGGATCACAGCAGTCCCAACATGGCAGCAACCCCAATGAAATGCTAAATAACTCTTTATTGATTGGTTGACGTTGACTGATTCTTGAGGTTAACTTGTCGAAGGCCTTGAGACGACCTTGGCCCATAAAGATTGATTTTGACCTCATGTCACCCTAATCATGAGTCGCCAAGGGTCAGATTATCCTTCAATTGCCATAAAATGCCAAATGTTTAGATTTTGACCCCAGGTCAACAAAACACGGGTTGCCAAGGGTCACATCAGCTCCAAAGATCCTTAAAACGCTAGTACTCAGATATGGACCTTTGACCTTGAGATTACCTTGACCCAGAAACATAGACCTTGACCTCAGGTCACCTAATCATTGGTGGCCATGGGCCACAGCAGCCCTAAGTACCTTAAATCACCAAATACCTAAATCTTGACCTTTGCGTAAGAAGTTACCTTTCTCAGGTCAACTAATGACCTAAACCCATAAAGTTGTTAAGTCAAATACTGTTGAATGCCCACTGACCCACTTAGTATGTTCACCATGTATGAGGGCCCAAGGTCAAACGGTCTAGGAGGAGATTTCCAGAGTGACAGAATGAAGGACAGTCCATCGTGCTTTTATAGTAAGATGATAACACGCTTTTAGCTAAGCAAACAAGAGGTTTATAGGATCTCGGTTGCTTAGACTTTACTGGTTACGATATTATCCAATTAAATATTTAATCTTTAGGGAGTAACGTACATTCCCATTTATAAGTTTGATTTTCGATCACATTGGTACCACTCGACCTTTTTTCTATCTGAAAAACAATTAAAGCAAACAAACAAACACACATCTGAATGGGCGCACGGGATTCAACGTGGATTTAAATGGGATAGGGCATGACATGGAGGATGTGTCCTATAAGTATAGAATGCATATTGAACAAAACTTGAATGTTACATTAAAGACGAAATTAGTGAAGAGTCATCACTCTCTTTGTACAGACAACTCCTTGATAAAAAAGGACGCCAAAGTTGGATATTGAGACTTTTGAACATAGATTACTGCATTGTAAACAATATGAAGAGCAAATAAATGAATTTCATAAGAGCTTAAAGTAAATCATACCCTATCCAATGCTAGATACATATATCAAGACAAACTCCTCGACAAAGTGGTTATTGGGTGATGAGGCATTCAAAATTGGGGGACATGAAGCAGAACTTAGATTTGATAGTGTAACTAAGAAGTTCTTACTGGCACTCTACAAGAGTAGTTGAAATTATAATTGGTTTTTTAACCTTTTTTAATCAATAATACAATGATTTTAATCAAGATTTTAGTCAACTTATTAATGCAATGTCTTAAATAATACCAACTACATTTTTTATCTTCATGTAAATTAATCTTAAACGGAGGCACCAATTTTTGTGAGCCGCTGTTGTAAAAGCGTAGTTTATAAAAAAAATAAAATTACATTAAACAATATCATGACATAATTGAAATGTGTATCACTAATTAATGCGTTTTTTGACTCACTTATTAATGGTATTAGCTTTGAAAACATACACTTGTCGTAACTCATTCGCTGTTCCACGCCATGCAGACAGATCGCATAAAATTACAATCAAATGATGTGAGACTCGACAATAAGCAGGAAACTAGAACCATTTTGTCACCCACGTAGCAAATTATTTTTTAATGCTTAATAAGGGTGAACGACAGTCAAATTTAGTTCTATAAGTCTGAAAATAACATAAGCTTTGATATGTCAAGGAACCTCGCTTGATGGCCGTGATTGACAATACGATGAAAAGACAAAACCGCAATGGAATTTTATAGATTTCTTTGAAAAACTAAGAAATACACATCACACATCAACGCTTTCAAAACAGAAAAATGTGTATGAATAATAAAACTTACATGTTCAAATCCCTCTGGTTGTATTAACATTTGTTTCGTATATGTCATACAATTAATATTTGAAACAAAAATATTATTCAAATATATGATCTTATTAAAGCATAATGCGAACTTCAAATTAATAAAGTAAAATGATCATGCTTTTGTCCGATCATTAGTTTTGAAAACTTCGAAGACATCTACAAATATAGCGTCGTGGTTTTGTCTTTACATCGTTTTAATCACCACAATCACTTTTCAAACGAATTTCCTTGAAATATCAAAAAGTTATGTTATCATCATACTTATAGAACTAAATGTGACTGATATTCACCTTTTGTTAAGCAGTAAAAAGTAATTTGCAACTTGGATGACAAAATGTTTCTAGTTTCCTGCATCATGAGATTGTAATTTTATGGAATCTCTCTGCATGGGGTGCTGTTCAAATGAAAGCCATGAAAAAAATATGTATTTATTTATTGTATTTGAATATTGTACATTATTTATAGTTTATTACAGGAAGAGGAATCTCATGTATTCACTTAACACCTGATATCTGGACATTTTACAAAATGAATGCCCTTGTGGTCTTCGTTGCCATGACACTTTTGGGTTTTGGTAAGTTGCACCATTACCTTTTTTTCATTATATTGACATATTTGGGCCTTAATATATATATTCTCTTCAATATGAAATCAGTGTAAACAGTATACGAATTGTTAAGAATTTGTTACAGACGCCGATCGCCAACCGCCGATCGCCAGAGACCATTGAAACATTTCGCCACTTTTTGGTGGTGACAAAAAATATAACATGGTAAGGTGGCTCTCGTATGTTTTATTTTTCAGGATTAACATCAAAATATGGACCATGTTAAGTGATATGCAAAACTTCATCTTTATTTTCAGGATTAACAACAAAATATGGACCATGTAAAGTGAAATGCAGATCTTTAGGTCACCGGAAATGTTCCAAGATATGCAGGATTGCAACAGTAGGTTGATTTCAATTTTTTGTGAGGTTTCATCTGGAAAATAGGTGAAAATGAAATGCACATTTGATTATTTGTTTTCATACATGAGTTTACATTTGCTCACCGCTTGTAGCTTATTAATCAGATCTTAATTCCTTAAACAATTAAAAGTATGAAATGTTGATTATATACAATCTTGAAATTTCCGTTTATAAACATTTACGATGAAGTAAATCATATTGTTGTGACCGCTGCTTTTTTTTATGAATATAACAATAGTTCAATTAAAACAATTTAACGACTGTGTTTGCCTGCAGGGTGATACCATTGCTTTGCCTTGTTGGGAGAACTGTTCTGTCTCTATAACTGGTTCAAATGGTGCAAATGACCTGAGTGAATGTATTCAACGGTGCAGAGTTTGGAAAACCTGTGAAACTGCTTCTAACAAAAGTAATAAACAGAATAATTAACATGATCTTGGACAGTAAATTAAGTTCTTTTCACTGAGTAGCATTGACTATTTAAATATATCATATCGAAAAATATATTATATCGACAGTATTCCGCATTAGCAGCTGTACGTTAAAACAGGACACAGAATTAAAGTTCTAACTCTCTTTAATTCGATCATGAATGAAAATCCTTTTAAGCTGGCTTCATCAAAATACTCAAAGACAAAGTGCTTCGGGAAGGTCCAGTTTTCACAAAGGATGGGCAATTTTACATTGTTTTGCCTTGAAAGGCTGTGATCCACAAAGTTGACTTGGAAAATAAGCAGGTACACTCTTGTTCTTCATGTTCTATACATTTAATGTTAAAAAAGTGAACTGAACACTTTGCATGCAAAAAAGATAGACAATCCAATTATTTTTTTGTGAATCTTTAACTTAACAGATATACTGAACTCTGATTTGCCCCGAATCCCCCACTTCTCATTGGTTTATAGGGGAGTGGAGATCTTTAAAACATCACCGTCGTCATCAATTATTTTCAACAATTAGGTTGAACATTGATATTTACATGAACTCTGATATTCAATTTTTAAAGTTGAAAAGGTGAAAATGTACATGAACATTGATATTCACATGAACTCTGATATTCAATTTTTAAAGTTGAAAAGGTGAGAATGTACATGAACATTGATATTCACATGAACTCTGATATTCAGCAATTTAACAATTAGGTTGAAAAGGTGAAAATTCACATGTACATTATTGACTCTTGATATTCGACAATTATGATCAACTGAACTGATAGTTATCCAAGTTCTAAATCAGCTGATTGCAGGTTGAGAAACATTGACACTGTACTACACAGCTGTATTAATTCTTGCTGATTCAGTGTGCATTGATAATTGAACTTCAGTTTATCCCCATTTATTGAATTCATATTAAAGTACATACAGGTATTATATCGTCTTGCATATATGTACTGCTGACCAGGTATATTTTAAGCAGGTATTTGTGTATGAAGTACCCCAGTGTTATTGTAAACCTTACATGTGCAACTGTGTCATGCCGGTATTAGTGTAAAAATCAAATCATCTCAAGTACAGGGTAGTTTTTAAATATTAGCTTCAAGGTAACACAAGGTGATCAAAAATTTTTTTTCACTTAGGCTAGGTTAGGTTTCATAGTTAGGCTCAGGTTGCCCAAACATAAAAAAAAACCTTGTAGTAGATTATTCAAATTCGGTTCCACTCTACAAATACAGGGTGTTCCAATTTATTTCACACAGTTTACCTGGTGTCCTACATTTTCAACTCTGTTTATATAGAGATAGTCTTACAATTCTTAAAACTACAGGGTGTCCTAAAATTTTCAACTCTGTTGTCAACACTTACAATATTTATTGCTACAGGGTGTTCCAATTTATTTCATACAGCTTACCTGGTGCTACACATTTCCAACTCTGTTTATATTAGAGATACACTTACAATATTTATTGCTACAGGGTGTTCCAATTTGTTTCATACAGCTTACCTGGTGTTACACATTTCCAACTCTGTTTATATTAGAGATACACTTACAATCCTTATTGCTACAGGGTGTCTCAATTTATTTCATACAAATATAAACTTATACCAGGTATCACAGATTTTTAACTCAGTTAATATATAGTTATTCTTTAACTCTGGGGTGTTTCAAATTATTTCACACATCTTTAAACGTGTACCTGGTGTTACAAAAATAGGTTAGTTGTATGTATATACTACTATCATACTTTATTGGTACAAATTGAGTACAATACGCACATAAGGATGGCTACACCAACAAGTGAGGACAAATACAAAGAGGCGTACATGAGGCTGCAAAAGGAAAAGAAACAGCAAGATGAGGAGATACTCAGGTTGTAAATTTAAAAAACTTGAAGTTATATGCTACATCTAATGATGACACTTCGGATTCTGATGACGTTGACCATGAAGTATCTAGTGGAAATGAATCTACAACTTCTGAAAGTGACAGTGATAACTCTAGTTCTGATGGCAGTTTTGAAATTTTACTTTTTTCAAAAAATCAGAGGGAGGAGGAGGATCCATCCGCTCTGCGAAGGTCAACAAGAATAAGACAAAAGCCTGATAGGTTAACATATACATAGTATTAATTGTATGAGAAGATATATCAGTAAAATTACTTGCCTTAATTGGTCGGTTATGTTAGTAAAATTACTTGCCTTAATTGGTCGGTAGACAGTATAATTACTTATCTTAATTGGTCGGTAATGTAGGAGTTTTTACATTAATAGTACTATTATTGTGTTGCCTAATATTACTAATTACAAATATGGACCACTTATACATGTAAGCCCATTTTTGAATTAATGATCTTAAAAATGCACATATAAAGTGTATGATATTATAAACCAATTAAAATGCACATAAAAAGTGTATGAATAACATATTACATAACACAACTTGCTCTTAATGTATTTCAATTTCATAAGTGGCCTAAAACCACAAATATATTCTGAAGCAATAGTGTTTTGCGCGCCGGTATGTACATAGTTGCACAAGTTAAGGTAGTTAAGGTATTTTTCTATTTTTGTATTTTGGGGTGTACATTTTGGGCTAAAAAGCCAGTAAATGGCAACACATTTTGTATTAAAATGTAAAATGGCATATTAAGGCATTATTTTGGCATTCATTTATGTAAAAAGCATTACTTTTAATGGCATATGTTTTAAAGGCATAATTCTCAGAATCCATTAACATTTAACTTTAGAATTGTATAACCATGTACACTTTTGGTCATAAAAACAAAGTAATATTTAACTGTGATGGTCTGTCAACGTTGTCCGCGTGGATGTGACCAACTGCACTTTAAAGTTTATAGTTGCATTTATAGATGGCACTATATAGATTTCATGTTTCAATTCACATAAATAGCTGGCACATAAATGTGCAACTTCCTCTTGCTTACAGTCACTACAATAGCCACATATATATTTTTACCTCTCCAGAAAATCTACAAAATCATCCACAATCGTTCATATTGGTAAGCCATCCACTCTTTATTTTACTTTTATATGCTTTATTAGATATTACTTGATTAAATACAACACATATTTCTGATATTTTACCAATCATTTATGGTATTTTTGTCAACTTAGAAATGTATTGTAATTTTTATTCAGGCAGTGTGTTAGGCCACAGATTCACCACCATTGGTTCCCACATTTCCCTCAAGCTCAAAGCAAGAGCCAGTTCTGTAAGTTAACATGCCAAACATTCAATTAAGTTAGCATTCATGTTGTCAAATGTAAAATAGTCAAATTAGATTGTGTTTCAAATAAACTTGCCAATGCCATTTCGTACTGTAATATTGATAAGCCTTGCCAATGCCAATGCCATTTCGTACTGTAATATTGATAAGCCTTGCCAATGCCATTTCATGCAATGTTATTATTATATTGTAATTGCTTGTTATGATTTGTTTCTAGCCCCTCTGGCTCTGTAAAGTGAATAAATTGACGTACACCACAAATCTTGTCGTTCGGTCGTTCACATATACTTGAGAATAATTTTGAAAATTTGGAGGTATTGGAAAAAGTCAAGTTATATTTCCACATTAATCATATTAAGTATTTTCATGGGGAAAAATTGGAGAAATTAGGGATAAAGTGAAGTTATTTTCCCTCATTTATCACATTTAAGAGGCTTTGACACGTAATCCAATGGGGGAGGGGGGGGGGGTTAAGAGTTACCAAAGTTATGGGAGGAAGTGTAATTGTATGAGTGGTAAAGTCAAATTCAGATATAGACTGGTGATATCGAAAATCGAAATTTCAACGACGTATGAGATAAATGTTGTGTCAAAGTACAGTTTACGTATAAAACGCCTTTGGATTAGAGAAAGGATGTTACTTTTTATATTTGCTCTTTTAGCAGGCTGGTACGTTGGTTATCCGATCAGCAGATTGGTTTGATGGGATACCAGTAGGATTACAATGTGACCTTGAAAACAATATCTGGGTTACTGATGCAAGACTTGGCTTATTGAAAATGAAGCAAGATGGGTCTTTCAAACAAGTAAGAGAGCATAAGAAAGTTATTAACATCATTCTAATATATACAGTATATATGGATAGTAGCCTGAAGAGCCCAGGGATGCAAACTATAACATTCATATCGAAAAAGTGACATTTAAAAAACGTACATATAAGGGTGAACAATTCATTTTCGAGTTTCATTAACTTATAGATCTTTCAAAAACAAACACTTGTGTTGTTGGCCTAGATATGTACAAACGATTTTTCTCGTGTTTCAATATTCATGTGCCATTGATTTAACTATTTGCCAGCAAAAAACAACAAATTATGATGTTACTTTAAAGAATGCTTTGAACAAAACAGTCATTAGAAACTTTTTTAATAAAAAATATTATAATATATGATAAATACCAATGTCCACTTGTGTCATCTTCACTGTTATGCATTATATCAATAATCTATGCCTGGCATGATGGTACTGGATAGTTGAAATATATCAAATTCGTAAATAGGGTGTCCCGAAAGTATGGACCTTCCTTAGGCAGACATATACCATAGCCTTATGTGTCATATATCATTTTAAAGCTTATCCAAAGTTACACAAAGTTACATTGTTTTGCCAAGTATCATGGTTCAACTCGCAATTCTGAAACAAACTTACAGGCATTTCAAAACTTAGAGTTCAGTCAAATTTAAGTTCAGTTTAGTTCCCTTGAAACAGGTCTGCCTTGAATGCTAAAAATATAGGTGTTGTCGTCAAAGGTAGGACGGATATATTTAGTTGGAAAATGGAACGGTGAGTGCAACTACTCCAGGATTACAAAATACCAAATACCTATATTGGGGGCGCTTTTGAGGGCATAACCGAAAGTATTGCTGCTGACAACATGGCCAAGGGGAAGACACTGACTATTAATTTGTTTTAAGACTGAACTTTAATTTTGGCCAAAAACTAAATTATGAAATTCCTTTTACTTTTTTTCGATTTGTGAGTTGAACCATGACTATTAACCACGCCCTCGTGGTCAGCCCTGCTTTCCCAACAGCGACTTATCAAACACACACGAGCGCAAAGGATACAATCAATGCTTTGATCCCACATCTGACATCAATGCAATGACCCGAACAGATATAACCATCTGAAATTTTATGCTATAACCTACATGTACGTTTATAATATTCATAAGTCAGTATGTACTTGAAGACAAATATTTTGTATTTGTACTAATTTTAGGTAGCAACTAAAGACAATCAGAATGAAACCATGCAAGGATGTAATGACCTTATATTTGACTACCATGGTAATCTATGGATTACTGCACCATATGGCCCAATTGCCCCACACAACTTTCATATTCAGAAAAGGTAATATTCATGACATTAGGTGTACAGCTCAGAGACGGCGTACAACCAATCTAGAATCACGATGTTGTACTCCATAGACCTACCGGTTTAGCTACGGGAATATAACTTATCTAGGAAGCGGGATGGCCCAAATGCCCTAATACGTCACTTCCGCTGAATAGAAAAAAGTAGTTTTCAAAAGTGAATGTAGTCCCAACACAATTGTGATCATGACGAGTCAGTAAGCTAGTATGTAGGCACAGTTGTCATCTTTTTGCAATGACAACATGCCATTTCTTCTGAAAATGCGTTTATTTTGGGTTATCTGAAGGAAAATTTCGAATCAAGTGGCGCATTAATTTTGCCTCCATTTTTATGAATTTCAATTACTGTCGGCAGAGAGAGCGGGGGTAGTGTCACAATTGACCAATTATTTCAAAAAGTAGATGATTGGCCCCTATTGAGTTTAGTGTCAAAATGTAGCTTAGACATAGGTTTAGAACCTCAGATAGGCCAGTGAGGCCACGTAAATGCATAACTCGAGATAAAAAGTCAGGCGTTTGCCCTTTTGCCCATTGACTAGTATGGTGACATGAATTAGGGCAGTTTGGCCTATTAGTCACAGTGAGAGTGACCAAAAAATTTTCAAAACTACTCAGAATCGCCCAGAATTGAAGTTTATTAGTATGAAACATATTCTGGACGTAGGCAAAAGGGGAATTTTCATGAACAAATTTAAAGTTTTTGCTGAATCAGCAGTTTTCGCTTTTTACCCCCAAAACCACTGATTTTGACGATATTTGGCTACAATTTCGTCCTTAATGACCCCAAGATGTCATCTGTTGTCGTAAATGGGGAAGCCAATGAGTTGCTGTTCATAATAAAGATTGAATTTTCCATCTTATGGTTTCTAGTAAAGAATGAAGGTACATATCAGGGGTGCAGTCAGAGATTGGTCAGTTAAGTGTCAATTTTTGATGTATTTGTCCACTCTGAATGACCAAATTCGAGCTAAAACTATCTCAAAAGTCCCAATTTCAAGCCAGAGTCAAATCTGATCAAATTTGTCATCATTTTTCAAATCAGGAGGTTGTTGCATGGAATAAAATATCAAAAAAATGATAATTTTAGTAAAATTTTGTCTAAGTAGGCCAAATTTGCCCAATTTTCTGGTTCACGGCTCAGTGATTTTGGCTAAAAATCGTAATATGCAATAAACAAACTCAATTTCTTGACACGACATTGTAAAATGTCACCATCAGGCAGTAGATTTCATGATGTAAATGAAAAACTAGTCAAATTTAAAGGAAAACCATTGGGTTCTTGGGAAAATGACCCCAGGGGTAATAAGGTAGCCATATTTTTCATAATTGCTGTCAGAATATTCTTAAACTGCACGAAACAATTTGAAAAACTCTAGTAAATTGGAAAAACGCAATTTCAAGCCAGAAATCATCCAACCATGTTGCTATTAGGCCCAAATGCCCTAATACGTCACTTCCGCTGAATAGAAAAAAGTAGTTTTCAAAAGTGAATGTAGTCCCGACACAATTGTGATCATGACGAGTCAGTAAGCTAGTATGTAGGCACAGTTGTCATCTTTTTGCAATGAAAACATGCCATTGCTTCTGAAAATGCGTTTATTTGGGTTATCTGAAGGAAAATTTCGAATCAAGTGGCGTATTAATTTTGCCTTCATTTTTATTAATTTCAATTACTGTCGGCAGAGAGAGGGGGTAGTGTCACAATTGACCAATTATTTCAAAAAGTAGATGATTGGCCCCTATTGAGTTTAGTGTCAAAATGTAGCTTAGACATAGGTTTAGAACCTCAGATAGGCCAGTGAGGCCACGTAAATGCATAACTCGAGATAAAAAGTCAGGCGTTTGCCCTTTTGCCCATTGACTAGTATGGTGACATGAATTAGGGCAGTTTGGCCGATGGATATTTCTGTGTATAAAGTATCCGTCTATCACCGCTGTTCAGAACATCCAGCTGTGTCTATTCCGGTCTCACACCATATTTTCTAATTTTTCACGCCGCATAGTCACTAGGAAATATATAGAGATTATCCTATATGGGGTTCAGAATATTGGGATTATCCTGAGGCCAATATAATATATCTGCCCGAGGGCCATAGGTCCCGAGGGTAGATATTGTGGGATTTTTTAATTCCCCCTGAGTAGTACTAGGGCTTGTGATACATTTATTTTACTGGATTTTATGTTATTTCATCTTTATTTCATGTTCTGTTCACTGTAATTAAAGAATTGTTTAGTAAAGTGTGTACATGCAGAATCTCACGTAGGCACTTGGATGTTTACTTGATCAGCAGACTGTAGTGGAATAAATTAGATTCAAACATGACCGTGCTCTAATTGAATTTATCAAACCAATCAGAATGCAGCATAGCCAATATAGAACGTTCTCTAATTCTCCATAGATGCACGACCGTGCTCTATCCAATCATCCGGGAATCTACGTATTGTATTTGCATTGTGACGTCACACCTGGGAATGGCGAAAATAACAGCGAGCTCGAGTTTGGTGTATCTCATGTAGCTCCAATCCCCAATTCTCTGAACAATGTTTTCATTTTTTATATGTTTGAATCGGAATAAATAATGATAGGCCATTTAATATGGTGAAATTCAGCACTCGTTGGACAGAATGTCAGTACAAATGCACTCACCTTCGGTTCGTGCTTTGTACGACATTCTGTCCAACTCGTGCTGAATTTCACCATATTGAATGGCCTATCATTATTTATTCCTTAAATAATTAAGTACCCAGCAACCAGTGATCAGCCAATCAGATTCTTTTATTTGAATTTCCCTCCAACTTAAGTTGTATTTTCCCATGATGCAACCTGAGATGTCTGGGCTTCAGCGTGAGATTGTGACCTGTAAATCAGAGTAAACCAAGACTTTGCAGAGGAAGGACCTCGTCAGTTTGTATCATTTTATGTGGTAGCGTGTTCGATGTGAATTGCGAACTATATTACATGATATTTGGATTATTTGCTGACATTATTTGCTGCAGTTTTGCGTCCGTTGTGACTGTGCGAGATAAAAGAAGATAACAGCCAGTTTTGGGTGAGTTGGCAATTTGATTATTGAGTTTGACGCCATATTGCTGTCCGCCATTTTGATTTCTTCTTCCCAGAATTCCTAGCGGTCGGCCATCTTTATTTTTACGGAAGTGACGTCATTTTAAGGAGTGATTACTCCTCCAATTATTTAAGTGTTATATCTCCCCCGAGTTATATTTGGTCCGAGTAGTTACAGCTCTGCCTCATCTCAGTTGTGATTGATATTCGAGAGTTGTATCTGCTCCGAGGATTGCCAGCTCCGAGTCCTTACTCCTCCATCTAGTTAAGAGCCCAATCTGCCCGAGGATAGCTAGCTCCAAGTAGTTATAGCTCTTGTCTAATCTCAGCTGTGATTGATATTCGAGAGCCATATCTGCTCTGAGGATTGTTGGCTCAAAGCACGCACTCCTCCATCTATTCTAGAGTGGAATTTGCTCCGAGGGTTGAGGATACAGCTCCGTCTAATCTCAGTTTAATGATCGATATTCGTGAGTTGCTCCTTCTCCTCCGAGTTATTGATGATCCGAAATTTATACAAGTTGCTGAACTTGACGCATCCTCCGAGGTGATTTGACTCCTCCAGAAGCTAGGTACTGAGGTTAGACTACCGGAACCAAAGTATCCCTGGGTTGCAAGGTTTACTCTCATTGGAGCCAAGGTTACACTCCCAGAACTGAGGTACTCCAAGATCGAGAAGTGGCAGCTCTGGTCTAATCTCACCATTTGATTGACATTCCAGAGTTGTTATTTCTCTGTAGAAGTTGTAGTGGTCTCTCTTGTGAAGTGGTGACTCCTTGAGCAGAAGTTACTCCAGAGCCTGGACTCCTTCTAAGAGACAGTGTGAGAGAGGTTGAGCAGAAGTTATTATAGAGACGAGAAGACTCCCGGTGCGGAAGGTACTCCCAATAGCCAGGGTTGCGTTCAAGAGCAGAGGTTTCTCCTGAGACGAGACAACTCCTAGAGTGGAAGGTACTCCAATAGCTAGGGTCTCGTACAAAAGAAGAGGTTTCTCCTGTGAAGTGGCGACTCCCAGAGCAGAAGATACTCCCGGAGCCTGGATCCCTTCCACGAGACAGTTTAATAGAGATAAGAGAACTCCTTGAGACGAGGTTACACTTCCGGAACCAAAACTCCTGGAGCCCTGATTCCTCCGAGGTGAGAAGACTCTGAGGGACATTGGTGTGTGTTTACTGGGAGCAGTTACATCTCAGGTCTTATCTCAGAGTATTGATTGACATTCCTGAGTTGTTCCTCCTCCATAGAGATTCCTATAGAGAAGAGTGTAGGTCAGTGCAGTGTGAATTACGTAGAGCAGTTACATCTCGGGTCTTATCTCAGAATATTGATTGACATTCCCGAGTGGTTCCTTCTCCATAGTATCACATTGAAACAGTGATATAGACAGACGATACCTAGAGCAGAAGAAACTCCCAGAGGTTGAATCCCAGTTGAGAGTGGAGAAAGCTTCAGAGGAGCAGATCCTCCTCAGGCCATTTTACTAGTTGGAGCAGAAGGAACTCCAAGAGAGGGCCAAGAGCCTAATTCCATTTGAGGGTGAAGATAGTTTCAGAGGAGCAGATCCTCCTCCTCCTTTGACCACTGAAGAAGGGTGTTATTTGTGTGAAGAGGAGTTATTGGAGTAGAGAGAAGACTGAAGAAACTAGAAGAAGCTGAACTGAACAGAGACATTGAAGCTGTATATAGACATTTTGAATTTACTTGTACTATTATTTTACGTTGAAATAGATTATAAAATCCCTGTATACCATTGTTATATTGCCATCTTTGAAAGGTAACTGCCGTACCACCAAACCAGGTCGGCACCCGTGTATAACACCTCCAAGATCCCTTATATCGTCCCTGGCCTTTCCTGAAGTTTGCATACAGGGTACTCCTGGGAATCGGCCCTGCGCGACAATATATTAGCCCAGCCGGCTGGGCTGAGATTTTACTAATTATTGTTTCTATAAGATAAATGAAAAATACTCAGCGTGAAACTATAATACAATATTCTACGACTATGAGCTTAGAGTACCATTAAATCTTTTTTTCGTTGTTGAAAAGTGGAAACAAATGATTTTGTCGCCCGATTAGCTTTGTGGGTTATGCGATTGGTCACCTGACACTGTCCTTCTTCCTTGCTCTTGAAAATATTTAATCATTTTGGGTAAACACAATAACTTCCTTCTAGATCATACATGTTGTGAATACCTTTTGTCAACTCAATGTATTTTGATTTCATAAAAGATGAATAGCAATGAACATGTATCTTCAAGCTAATTAAAAAAAATTGAAAAATCATAAGCGAAGTGTATATTTAAGAAAAGGTGTCCTTTCAAGTATTGGCTAGTAATGCATTAACTTTGAAGTTTGCATACACCTCACAGATAAACTATTAACTGAACTGACTGACTGAATTTTAGATGAGAAATAAATGGTCTGCATATAATTAATACATGTTCCATTTTTTGGACCACCCTGTATTTATTCTTATGTTTAACAAAGTATTTATTGTAACGCGTGGTTGACATGTTGATATTAAACACATAGTATGCTATAAGGAATATTATTTTTTATTACTATTTTCATTCACACAATTTTAAGAATCCACTTGGGAGTGTGTACTGCTATAATATGACAACTAATGGGATTATTAAAGTTGCCACTGGAATCCTATATCCTAATGGTATAACTGTGCAACATGATAGCAATGGGACTCCAAGGAAACTAATTGTCGGGGCTTTTGCCAATATAACCACACCCTTATGGAGCTTTGATATTGTTGGCCCTTGTCAAATTGAAAACAAGCAAGTTTGGGGAAACCCACCTGGTGAGTCTGGTACATCCTTCTTCAAAGGACTTCATTTATGCCTAAATTCATATACTTGTAAAATACCCTTGCAGCAAGGATGGTCTGGTAGCTTAAACGCAAAGTCATTTATACGAGAAAAATGTATTTGCTGAAAAGTATCTAATCCGATGTAGAATTCAATGTACGTTTATCTCAATACGCGTTGTCATATCTCGTGTCAAAACTTCGTAATGCAATTGAATTTTCTGATTGTATTATATTGAACTAGTTGTAAAGGTGTTAGTTTACTAGCACACTGTTCATTGCTTTCTAATTATAGCCAAAAGTAATATAGATGGTATTGATTTTGATGAAAAGGGGAACCTTATAGTCACAGAAAATGGTTCTAGTATGCTGTACGTCTTCGATCCAAATGAAGGTACTCCGACTTGTCAATTAAAGTTGCCAACAACACATGCGACCAACATACACTTTAGGCCTGGCTCAAATGAGCTCTACATTACTGGAGATGAATTATTGAAACTACAGTGGAAATACAATGGAATGAAGCAATATTGGGAGATAGCTTAAAGTGTAAAAATATCTACTATAAAACAAGATTAAGTTGGGCAAACAAGAGCTTTATAGCTCGTTTATTAATGAAAAATGATGCAATTTGTCAAGGTTTCGATAAACCATATTTAAAAAGTGTAAATAACATGGTCATGACTACAGATTAAAATCTTGTCATGTTTTTGCCCAGTTGTTTTAGACCCAACTTGCATAATTATGTATAGCGTCTTGTTGCACTTATGATGTGCAAAATAAAATATTATCAGCAACATAAGCTTTCTTGTGTTATCATCTGAATGCAACGAGCAAGTACCTAACAGCAATCTGAGCGACTGAATCATAAATAACAGGATATTGGTTGCTTATGTTTGTTTACTTTTAACGATAGTGTCCCATTAAACATTAAATCACTAAGGAGTTAAGTAAGTAAATTGATTTATATCATTTCAAACTTTATCTAAAATTATTGTAATAAAATCTTTGTCGTGGCCGGAGTAAATGTACGATAAGTATAGTTTGAAGGATTTATTTATCTACCAGATTTGAAAGGTGGAAATATCGGGATCTTGGTTGCTTACGTAGGTTTACTGTTTACAATAGTGCCCAATTAAACATTCTATCACCAGGGAGTTAAATGAATGGATTAAATCATTATTTTTGAAGAAAAGGCAAAATAAAAATGCAGTTGAATATGTTAACTCAATACCTTAGTGCTTTAGGGGACTTTTCAAAGAGATACCGAGTACAAAAATGGGCATGATTCTTAAAATCAAATAAAATATTATGAGGCATTTCACATTGTATAATTTATTTTTCACACTGTTTTATGTAAAATTCTCCATCGTTATATGAGGACGTGGATGGAATATAACACATTGGCAGCAGAGGCCAAATACCAAAGTCGGTATTTTTGTTAATGTGACTATGCATCTACCCACCCGTCCATTGCCAAAATCGGTATTTTTGTTAATGTGACTATGCATCTACCCACCCATCCATTGCCAAAATCGGTATTTTTTGTTAATGTGACTATGCATCTACCCACCCATCCATTGCCAAAATCGGTATTTTTGTTAATGTGACTATGCATCTACCCACCCATCCATTGCCAAAATCGGTATTTTTGTTAATGTGACTATGCATCTACCCACCCATCCATTGCCAAAATCGGTATTTTTGTTAATGTGACTATGCATCTACCCACCCATCCATTGCCAAAATCGGTATTTTTGTTAATGTGCCTATGCATCTACCCACCCATCCATTGTCAAAATCGGTATTTTTGTTAATGTGACTATGCATCTACCCACCCATCCATTGCCAAAATCGGTATTTTTGTTAATGTGACTATGCATCTACCCACCCATCAATTTACACTGCCACAACCGATATTATTGTCCCGAATGTCAAACTGATAATCAGGTAATAGGCTATATCATATCAAGATAAAGTCATTCGTCTAATTCTACATGAATTGTACAATGAAAAGAAATGTTTGCAGATGGAAATTAATTTGACATGCTGTATTATATCTACACAATTTATATTAAATTATTTAATACACTTATAAATTACACTTTACTCTGTAAACGAACAATTTGGGTTTCCCTTTAAATGGGGCACATCAACGAAACCGAATATTCGTTTATTCCGTATATTATGAGTGAGATGTTTAGCTCTAATAAAATATGACTACAAAGAGGGGAGATGATGTGGTACATGTACCCGAGGTTCACTTTAACTCTCATTGGTAAAATCGGTTTTTACGAGGGGGGGGGGTCAAAGAGAAGCGGATGCGGGGGGGGGGGGGGGGGTGTTGAAATCAATATACAGAATATAGTATGCAAACTCATCAAATAACTAGTGTAGATGTATGATTTATTTTCCGCGATATAAGAGTGGGAAAAGGGGGTTTGTTATATAAAGAAGGGGGGGGGGGGTCAGGACAAATTGGAATTCGCATGAGGTCCATAAACCCCCTCTCACTATGCCCATGCATCTAGAGTAGTAAATGTGGTCGATATTTTTGAAATGGCTCCAAAGATAAAATTGTAGGGATTCATATCGGTTGATTTTTCCGGATCGGATGTTTTTTAAAATGGCCAAAAAATCGTCGCCAGACGAGTAGACCAATAAAACGTAGTAGAACAGAGACATTGAACAAGTTAAATTGCACTAAATATGAGTTGAAATCCATGAGTTATTCTCATTTGTTTGGCTTACATTTTTGGCTCACCCTGTAACCGTCTCTCTCTTTTCTGTATTTAACTTTAACGATACAAGAAAGTCTGTAGGGAATTTATTCCTGACCATCTCTCTATACGGTTTGTTTGCTTGCTTACAATCTGATGTTGGCAATTGACTCATAATCCTGAAATTTAGTTAATCTACAGCATATTTATTTTTATTTTAGTGTTACACAAACAATTGATCACATTAAACCAATATCAGTAATTAAAATCGAAATAGGAAAAACTAATTAATGTGTTGTATGACGCAATTATTAATGATACTTTCATACATCGTAAATCTCGATGCTGTACACATGAAGGCAGTGGAAACAATTTATGTATTTATCAGATTTACTAGTAAATCATATACATACTTTCTAATTTATAACTGGAAGTGATACCATATGTTTACACTTTACTCCTGATACCTGGACATTTCACAAGATGAAAACCCTTGGGTTCCTCGTTGCCATGGCACTTCTAGGTTTTGGTAAGTTGCAGCAATACTTCTTATTATATATTCACGTATATGAGCCTTTTACGACAAAATATATATCAGGGTTAATCGAGGAAACCAATTTTTAGCACAGTTATGGCGATAATATAGAAGGGAAAATATTGCATTTATGATTTTGAGAGCGGTATATACAGGGTGGGCCAAAAAAAAACAATACCCAACTTTAAATCAGACTGAAAATAGCTATGTTCAATATGATACACTCTGATTTATATATCATTTTAAAGGTTATCCAATTTCGAACAATTTGGTATATAACACTATGTCATGAAATCAATATTAAAGTTTTATTATGCTTATTTGGGAGGCCGGGTCAGTATTTAAGGTATCCAGATTATAGGGAGAAAATAGTAAATCTGCGGAATAATGTTAATTTTTTATCTATAGAATATCATTTTGTTAGGTGAATAAATGCTTGTATATTTGCATATTGTGTGACTAAACTTATTGTTTATGAATTTTAGTGTTGTTTATTATCAATAAGTACTCAAAGGGGGTCTGTTAAAAGACAATAAACGTATATGTGACGAGGATTTTATTTTTGCCCCGTACCATACACTTGGTGAAATCGATAAAATAATATATAAAAATATGTTTTATTTTCGGATATTTGTGTAAAAAGATGCGTAATAATACAGTATTTCCATTCAGTATTGTAATTATTATATTATATTATGAAGGAAAAAAATATAATCAGCATAATATACTACATTATATAGAGATTAATATAATATAATTAGAAATAAGTGAGATCCAAATATATTATTTGTACATATAAACATTTACCAAATCCGATTATCTCAATAAGAAAATGTAGCAGAATGTTTTATTCCCGGTATAATATTCTTTTTTAGAATTATTTGCGCCAATTTATATTTATTCTGTCTTTCTAAAATATTATTTGGTCATATTTATCAATCCAAACTGATTATTGCAGTCTATTTAGATTTTTTTCTATTCTAAAAAATATTATTTTCTAGTATTTTCCAATCTAAGCAGAATATATCAAATTATATTGTATTATTTGGGTTCTAAAAAATATTATACTCGATTATTCTCGTCCAACTTGATGTACAATCCATCTGGTTAATTACTTAACCAAACAAAACAAAGAATGCACAGCATGGCAGTTAATAGGATTAACCGTTCTACAGGCCTTCTCATCTCTATTACTTACACATGTCACACATATTTTATTTTGACTGTTCTATTTCTATTTGAAAAATATTTACAAATAAATGTTTAGAAGAAAGAAATTTAACTTGTTTTAAATTAATGTTAACAATGGAGTAAAAATGTGAAAAAGTCATCAATTGAAAATCAAATAATTAACTTTCCAATGGGTTAATCGATTCAATCCAAATTTTAACACAATGTTAATCATAGAAAGAGGGATTTTATACAATTAAACAAATATGAAAAACTTAATTTGCAACAATCGGCTCTAGATATTAATCCATTCACTCTAACAAACGGATTAACTCTAACAATCGGATTAGTTATCACTGAACAAAACTCATTTCATAGAAATTGAAAAAACTTAGAGATTAAAGTATTACTTATATTGCTCTGTCATCAATACATGTACATGTAAGTGAATGGTAAAAATCTTCATGATTTTGAAAGAATTGTTGGTCAAGGGGAGGGGATCGTTACTCGTTAGGTACGGGACTGTATAAAATGCCTAATGTTTTTAGCTAAAATTTGAGTAGTTCTGTGTCAAGACTATTTTTGTGGTTGGCAGAGTGAATACGGGTGGTTGTTTGTGCCTGTGTAAGAGTGGCCCTTAGATGTTGTTTGTTGTTAACTTTATATGGCAGAGAAACAATGGAGTAAAAATGTGAGGAAACCCATTTATTAAAAATTAACTTTCCGTTGAGTCAATCAATTTAATCCAAATTTTAACACCATGTTTATCATAACATAAGGGACATTATACAATCAAATAAATATGAAAAACTTGGTTTTTAAATTATTTTTTGTGGAACTTAGAACTCTTGGCTGTAGGAAATTAATCCATCGCCTCTAACAAACGGATTAGCTTTCAGTGTTAACAAAACTCATATTAAAGAAATTGAATAATTGGGGATTAAAGTTTTACTTATCATATTGCTCTGACATACATGTACTGTATGTCAACATGTTATTTACATCAGTTTGTTCTACCATGCACCAATTTGCTCAAAGCGTAATCATCGCTATGTCAGATGAAACATTAGGAATTAAATTAAATTGGTCCAATTGTAGTAGAAACAAATATATTACATCATGGACTAATCTGTTGTTTATATCCCCAGTTTATATCTCAGATATATGGATAACAGAAAACGCATGAATTGTGAAATGTGAGAGAATACACGTTTTAATTTTGTTTTAGCATGACTTAACACCACTTGTATCAGTGAACCTAATGACTACCTTTCTTATTTATTATCAGCGATTTGCCAGAAGAAATCTGGGCAATACATGTACATTTGTACATCCAATATAATACAGGCTCGGAATAAGTTTTAGCCCAGGAGATCAATTTTCAAAACAAACCAAGAGGTCACAATTGATCATTTTGGCCCGAAATCACTTAACATTGCTCAGATTGGTAAAAAATGTAGGATTTTGAAAGAATTTTGGCAAGGGGGGGGGGTTACTTGACCCCCCCCCCCTCCCTGGCCATGGACCTATACCAAATTCGTAATGTATTGATATATAGCAGTTTCGTGTCATAAATGTTTTGTGTTGTTTGTGAAGTGATTAAAGGTGTTTGTGTCTGTGTAAGAGGGGGCTTTAAATGTTGTTTGTTGTAAACTTAATTTGACAGAAAAACAATTGAGTTAAATTGTGAGGAAACCCAATAGAGTAAAAATGTGAGGAAACCCATTGATTAAAAATTAACTTTCCGTTGAGTCAATCAATTAAATCCAAATTTTAACACAATGTTAATCATACCATAAGGGATATTATACAATCAAATAAACATGAAAAACTTAATTTGCAATTTATTTTTCAGTTGAAATTAGAACCATTGGCTGTGGAAATTAATCCATTAACTCAAACAAACAGATTATTTATCAGTGTGAACAAAACTCAAATCATGGAAATTGAATAATTAGGGATTAAAGTTTGACTTATTATATTGCTCTGGAATGTCAATACATGTATGTGAATGGTGAAAAACTACATGATTTTGACAGAATTGTTGGCCACGGGGAGGGGGTCCTCAGCTACGGGTCTGTATAAAATGCGTAATGTGTTTATTGAATATTGAGCAGTTCCCTGTCATGACTGTTTTTCCGGTTGGCAAAGTGAATACAGGTGGTTGTTTGTACCTTTGTAAGAGGGGATCAATTTAAATGTTGTTTGCTATTAACTAAGAGAAACAATGGATTAAAAATGTGAGGAAAACAAATTAATTAAAAATTCAAAAATTAACTTTACAATGAATTAATTGATTGAATCAAAAATTGAACACAATGTTAATCATAACATGAGGGACATTATACAATCAAATATGTATGTAAAAACCTATTTTGCAAATTATTTTTGTGGAATTAAGAGCCATCAGCTGTAGAGATTAATCCATTAACCCTAACAAACAGATTAATTATCAGTATGAATGAAACTCATTTCATAGGAATTGAATAATTAGGGATTAACGGCTCGAAAATAACCGCGTATAATAGGTTTTTGATTGCAAATGCCAACTTATTATTTGCTCCTGACAGGAATATTATTCTATATTATTTGGCATTATATGTTGTTCCCTTTAAATAATACACGAATAATATTATTAAATCAAAAATAATTCTTAAAAATACGTATTATATTTTTTTCCGTTATAATAAAAGAAATAACTGCCTATTATACAGGAAAAAATATTCTCTACGATTCTCTCTTAATGCAACTTATTTAGCAGTATATTAAACATTTTATTCTATATTATTTTTACTTTTTTACCAAGTGATAGATCTCAAGAGACATTGGCATTCCTTTGCTAACAAGGTGTCAATTTGATTGATCTCGATGCTTGGCCACCCAACCCGCCCCGATGCTACATGTAATTTGTTTGATTACGATACATGGAGCCATCTCGAGGAAATGGTACAATCAAAAGCATCCAATAAACAGCTTTGATGTGCTGAAACAGAATCCTAAAGTGCTGAAATGAATTGCAACAGAAATCTCTCAATAAGGTTATTGATAGATTGCGCTACCACTTGAAGCTTATTGTTGATGCATAGGGGAGGGGTGGGGGTATATTGAGCAATTGTGAAAATTGTTTAAATAAATAAAGTGTAAAATGTTATTAAACAACACTGAAATTCATAAACAATAAATTTAGTCACACAATGATGAAAATATCAGTATCCAAGCATGTATTCACCTAACAAAAGAATGATATTCTATAAATAAAAAATTAACATAATTCCGCAGATTTACTATTTTCTCCCTTAAATCTGGAGACCTTAAATAGCTACCCGGCCTCCCAAATAAGTATAATAAAACTTTTCTATTGATTTCATGACATAGTGTTATATACCACATTGTTTGAAATTGTATAACCTTTAAAATGGTATGTAAGTCAATGTACCATATCGAATGTAACTATTTTTATCCTGATTTGAAGTTGGGTATTGTTTTTTTGGCCCAACCTGTATATATTTCCCATTTACAGAATATCTTACATTCCAAAATATCCTCAAGGATAACAAAAGAAATTATGAAAAGCGACACAATGTCAACATTTTTTTCAAATTGTTGAACCTACATGTATTTACACAAAATATGATTTTTATTGCAAGAAAATATTATTCAACAAGGGGTCCAAGGCTTATTCAGAAGTAGAATGGTATTGAAAGTCTAGTTAAGAAGATATCAAAATTATGCTGAAAACAATGGATAGCATAAAGTTTCCATTTGCAAAAATAACATGGGATATATGGTTTTTAACTTCCCAACACTGCAAATTTCACTACCCATCACCTTTTCAGAAGTTGTTAATTTAGTGTAGAAGAAACTTTGGGTATTTTTGAATTGAAAAAACAAGATCATCCTTTTATATAATAATAATATATAAAAGAAGCCTAATTATTTTAAAAATTGACAAGATGGGGTCCTTATCCATCAGTTTCAGAGAGTTGCAATGATCTCTGTATTATCACGGGATATTACTTGTTTTTTGATACCAACAACTATTATTTATGACCAAAAACTACTCATAGTGAAATATATTACTGTCCAAAATTGCTTGTCATACTATACCTGGCCATCTCAAAATACCCCTTTACCGTAACAGAGTGATTTTATGCTTGTATTAATGGACTTCATTTTGGGACACCTTGTGTTTATATACCCGAACGGTTTCATATAAAATATATCATGGCAAGGTCGCTCTCTTTGTTTTATTTTCAGGATTAGCATCAAAATATGGACCATGTAAAGCGAAATGTAGAGCTCTAGGTCTACGGAAATGTTCAAGGATATGCAGAATTGCAACAGTAATGTTAATATTAAATCTTTTTGTGAGGTCGTATTTAGAAAATAGATGAACGTTAAGAACCTGAATTGTTTGTTGGCATTCTGGATAAATATAAAGGCGGCCATTTTGTATTTTCCGTCCTGAAATCTTGTCTGTCGAGGCTTGTGAATAGATTCCGAGCCAACTTTTCAGGGATTCATCTGAAATGTCCAGGAGTGTTTCTACGTATAACATTTTAAAGACTGATTAGATTTTAGGTATTCTGGGTAAATGTTAAGGTGGTCATTTTGAATTTTTCATCCTAAAATCGTGACTATCGAGGCTTGTAGGTTTCCAGCCAAACCATTTTAGGGATTCATCTTGGATATTCAGGGATGTTTCTACATATGACAGTTTACAACTGATTAGGTTTGGGGCATTCTGGGTAAATGTTAAAGCTGTCATTTCCCTCCCTTAAATCCTGTCTGTCGAGGCCTGCCTACAGGTTTCCAGGTTTTATGGATTCATATTAAACTTAGGGCTGTTTTTGGGTATGAACGTTTTGAATTGATTACTCTTTGGACAGTCTGGGTAAATGTTAAAGCGGCCATTTTGGATTTTCCGTCTCGAAAACTGTATTCTATTCAAGAGTGCGATTCTGTTCACTCTGTGTCGTGTTTTATTTGGCACCGTACAACAACTTTTAAAATAGTATAATCAAAGAAGACTAAAATTGGAAAGAATATGTAAAAAGCTACACCTAAAATATAAAAAAAAAACTGTAGGGTACTTCTGAAACAAAAACAATAATTTCAAGTAGCTGTCGATGTTTGTGGCTTGAGGAACAGCATCAGACACTGAAACGAAACGCGCAGATATTTTGGGTTAAAAAGGTTTGGAGACTTAAACAATTAAAAGTATTTCAAGTCGATTACGATCTTGAAATTCAATTTTACAAACATTTTACATAGAGTAAACCATAAACTGTTGTAATGACCACAGTTGTTTTTATTGATGTTGTGATTGTTATACATAGTTAATTAAAATAATTAAAAGTATGTTTGCCTGCAGTGTGATACCATTGCTTTGTCGTGTTGGAAAACCTGCTCAGACTCTATAAATGGTCCAAATGCTGCAAATGATCTGCGTGAATGTCTTCAACAGTGTAGAGTTGGGAATACCTGCGAAACTGCTTCTAACAAAAGTAATTCAAAAAATTACACAATATCTAACCTCTAATATGATCATGGACAGTTAATTAAGTTTTTGAAAGTTTGACCCTTTCTCCTACTAGTAGTGAATATAGGACATATTCAGGTGAATTAATGAAAGGGTTATCCAAAACGAAATTTGAAGAGTAGACGTACAGAAAGCAAACGACCTGCAGTTGAACCTAACCGTCTAAAATTTTACGTTAAAGCAGAAGAACTAAAGTTTTTACTCTCCTGTTATTCATGGTTGAAAAATCCTTTTAGATTGCTTCATCAAAATATTAAAAGAAAATGGCCATCGGGAAGGTCCAGTTTTCACAAAGGATGGGCACTTTTACATTGTTTTGCCTTTTGACGGTGAGATCCGTAGAGTTGACTTGAAACTTAAGAAGGTATATATTTTCTAAATACCTTTATATCAAGTTTAACTGTTCATTTTAGTGATAACAAATAAAGGGTGGTCCAAAAAGCGAACCCTCGCAAAAATATATATCTCATTTTTGACCAGCTTTAATGGGCTAGTATCCTTACATATTTTAGATGAAGTTCTAAAGATACTGTTGGTACTATAGAGGTCAACCTCTTACAGAAGTTAGATGACATCTCCAGACATGCCTTATTTATGGATTGTGTGCACCATCCGTGCTACACGGTTCTGGATAACTGCCGCAACGCAAATGATGAAGTCGTTCGCTGCTCTATCCAACTTATCTGGACATACGTATACTCGTATCTAAAGTTTTTTGCAATTAACAATTTCAACATTTGCTCTACAGTTCTGAATAACTGCTGTAACAAGAAGTTGTCCATCACTCAAAAAACTTTATATACAATTTTATCCTCAATATAAAGATAAATCCGAGATTCAACATGTCCATGGGTTGCTTCAAGTAATGAACTACTTCAACATTCGTGTTGTGGTAGTCATCCAGATCCGCGAAGCATGGATTGAACAAATCATCCAAAATCAGACATGTCTGTTGATGCCATGTAATTTCTGCTCGAATAGACCGACTGACATCTATGGTACCCACCAAACGTTCGAGACCTTCCACCTTTAGAAAATATAACAATATTATCCCATTAATGCAGGTAATAATAGTATGTATAGTAGTGGATATAGGACATATTCAGGTGAATTAATGAAAGGGTTACCCAAAACAAAATTTGAAGAGTAGACGTACAGAAAGCAAACCACCTCAGTTGAACCTAACCGTCTAAAATTTTACGTTAAAGCAGAAGAACTAAAGTTTTTACTCTCTCGTTATTCATGGTTGAAAAATGTCCAACTTATCTGGACATACGTGTAGTCGACGTAGTCGTATCTAAAGTTTTTTGCAATTAACAATTTCAACATTCGCTCTACAGTTCTGAATAACTGCTGTAACAGTTGTGTCAAAGTACGATTTACATTTTCCCCGAAAATCAGTAAGAAAATACATGTTTAAAGGCTTTGAATTAGAGGGAACTAATTGATTCTATTTTCTCAGTCTAGCACGTTCGTTGCCCCATCAGTAAATGGGTTTAATGGGATGCCAGCGGGATTACAATGTGACCTCGAAAACAATATCTGGGTTGCTGATGCAAGACTTGGTTTATTGAAGGTGGACCAAGATGGGTCCTTTACACAGGTAAGACATAATCGATGTAACCTCATATTTCGATGACAGCCTGTATCCTACTGCTACATTGTTCATCACATTTGATAATAATTCCGGTGGAATGTTTTGGATTTCTCTTAGGACGTTGCCCTTAAGTTGTTGTAGGTCCTTTTGATTGGAATGAGCATTAAAACACTCCTTCAAATAGCCACAGAGAAGATGTTTGAGGATGACGATGGCAGAACATACACAGAACAGGATCTTAAGAGGTTCTGGACAAATCATTTGATTCTGGACTTGTCATATTTTTTTTTCAACGAAATCACATCCAAGGGTTGAATTTTTATTAGCTATTTAGAGAGTGAGTCCTGCCTAGTATTAATTTCAATAAAAAAAGTTAAAATAGAACCCTATTTGAGAGTCAATCTAATACTTACATTACATTGTTAAATTAAGGCAAATCCTGAAATATTTTTAAAGTGCGTTTTTTAATGAAATATTATCCAGCAAGTATTTAAATGAAACGGTCTTATTTAAATACAAATCATAACATGATATTTTTCATGAAACATTTTTCAATGAAATTCAATTGAAGGGTCAAGATAAAACGAGTTAATTTAGGTGAAAACCCTTACATGATGATGTGTTTTCATAACTTCTTTCATAAAATTCCATCAAGGGGTGAAGATAAAATGATCGAATTTAAGTGATTTAAGGATCACGAGAATATGTTTTCTTTGATATTTTCTATGAAATCCCATCCAATGGTCAAGGTAAAATTTTGATTTTGATTTTGATTTGGTCACGTGTTCGAAAGATCCATATAAGGCCCATAGAACCATATAGGAACGTCATTTTGAATGTCACGTGATAGATCCATATAAGGCTTTTGGAACCATTTATGGAAAGATGAGGGAAGCCCCTGACACCTGTTTCACGATTTTTATGCACTTCATTATTGTACCGAAGTTTGCCGATTCGATTCGTCGTATTTCGGAATCCTGGTGACAATTTTATACTCCATTGGAGTATTTTTGACCTACTTCTTATGACGGAAATTCCCGAACCTTGTTCGGATTAATCCGGATTTTCTGACCTACTTTATCTACCGAGATTTCACGAGTTAACATTCGTCTCATTCCGGAATCCTGGTGACAATTTTATACTCCATTGGAGTATTTTTGATCTACTTTTTCTGGATTTTGCCCTACTTATTATATCTTGACAAGCAAATCAAAAAGTTCGACATGAACGGGTCTCGATCAACTAACCTAGACTATGGAAGCCAGGCACGCTAACCATGAGGCCAACGAGCTACCGATATGAAAGAACAAAAGTATTATATATTTATACCGAGCGTCAATTCAAAATGATCCTCACTTTTGTCTCCACTTAAATACGACTCGTCAGTTGTATCCAGAATAGTAGAACGCCTATGGCGCTAGTGAATAACCAAGTCCCAGGTGAGTGGTTCGTATCCCTCCGTGATATACTATTTTTGTTTTATTAAATACGACAGAAAGGAGCAAGGTGTTGGTTGAAAACAAGACGTTAGTTTGTTTCAAAACAGTTTGGAAACATTAATCTCTGGAACATTATTTTTTCAACACTGATACAAATTTCCCTGACATTTCCCTGACATGTCTACCGTTTCAAAATTCATCTTTGGCCCTTTTGACCTAATTTTAAAATTACCTGACATTTCCAGCACTTGGAAAATCAAGTCAATTTCCCTGACATTTCCAGGTGTGTATGAACCCTGGAAATATCCCACTGGTTCGCCCTATGAATCGCTAGCACAGATTGGATTGATTAGTGTTTCAAAATGGTGGACGAAATGTTTGATTAGATAATTTACATATTAAGCTTCTTAAAGGGGCAACAAGGCCTGTACATAGAAATTTTTTTACATTTTCTGAATTTTTAGGGCAACATTTGGCTTTAACATCTTTTTTTATACATTTTTTCTTAAAATGTATGGATAAACAATAAAATTTCAGCATTAAGCAGTGCAAATTCAGTTCAAAGCTTCTATAAAGGGAGTCCAACTTATAGATTTTGAAAATCCGACTCGTTTAAAGAAGAATATCAGCAGCTTAAATCACGCCTTGTGATCATACAAAATGGATGGAGGGGGGGGGGGGGGTAGGCGATTTCTGCAAAAAAACTCAACAAATTTGGAAGATTTATTTTTTTCAAGATAAAATTTACAACTGAATTGCCAAATGAATAGGCGCAGTGCATGGCAAAATATGTAAGGTCTTCTAGTATTCTTTGAACTGATACGCTTCTAAGATATGAGATCCATTATAAAAGGCGCATCATCATCATCATCATCATCATCATCAACGTGCAAAAGTCAATGTTTTTGCTATAAATCAGGCAACAATGGTCTACACGACCTGTAATAAATAGGTATGAGGGGCGTTATTAGAGAATTTTCGTTATAAGTTTTTTAAAAACTTATACGTATACTTATACTTATAAACCCAATAAACAAGGTGTTTCATAATTTCCAAATCGTCGGGAAATATCTCCTAGGACGGTAATAAAAAGGGCCAATGGCATACCATCCGTACCCCCTTGATGTAAAGCATGTTTAGTTGTGTCATATGTGTTTTCTAGAATCAAATAGGCTGATATAGCACACGGGTTTTACAGATTTATCTACTCTCAAATATATTTTTTGTAGATGATCGTTTTGAATCACCTTGTAGAAATAACGAAGGGAGAATTAGTTCAGCTAATGAATGAGTCGAGCTATTTGATTGGATACTATGCCTATTCAGCCGATTAATTTTAATAAGCCATTCTGGTCAGTAGGTCCACACATATACTATGCGGAGATCCAACTCTGTAAGTTTATAATCTGCGTATAAAGGCCCTTTTATACGTAAAAACTTAAAAATTGACCTTATAATTTCATGAGAACTTTGAAATGATCGACTCGTTCGTGTAGTGATTCACTTTAAAGGGTCTTGTTTATCGTACACTACAAGGACCCGTCAACTAGAATTTAGTTTATCGTGTTCATAATTGACACTAGCAAAGGACATTGTATTCGCAGTCCCTAGTTGATGATGAAGCTTGACTATATCGGGAATAGTTATGCCCCACTTGGTACAGATTAATGATGAAAATCAATTTGAATTGATTTTAGTTCGACAAGACCCTTTAAAATATAAGTATACGTATAAGTTTTTGAAACAACTTATAACGAAAATTCTCTATTATCACAACACTGACATTGCTCACTTTTTAAAGTTGTTCAAAGCGTTATATGTAAATGGGCGTGTGGAAGGCCCGTGGGTGGCAATAAAATAACTCGAACTTCAAATTAAAATATATATAAAATAGTATATTTCAAACTTCAATGATTAAAATACAATGCTCTGTAATGTACAACATGAACTCTTACAGCAACTACTGACAAGCCAACACCCAATGCAAACTCAGCTACCACATATTGGGGAACAATAGATATATAAAACTGACACAGTTTGCATAGTTGAATAACTCAAGGTGAAAAGTGAACATGGTATTAAAAGAGTAAAACTGCAAACAACCTACTTAGGGACCTGTTATATTGAGATTTTTTTTTTTATTTATAAATTTATTTCAATGGCTGTGCCATACTGGCATTACTAGCCATGTCTTTATATATATTGAAATGACATATGTATGATATAAATAATATAAATAGATCAAAGATACAAAATAAAAAATATTGAGATGAATAGGGATTGATTAATATGAACAGTAATAATATAAAATGTGAAAATGACCATATTACATATACAAAAAATAACCCCATTGTTACAAAATCACAAAAAGTGAAATATCTATTCTTGTATTGCATTTTCGTTCACTGGACATATTTTAATTGCATTGCTATTAGATACATTTTAAGGGTGATATGAAAATTGAACCACGAAAACAGATGTACTTTAAGTTAAAGGGAACTTTCTACCATACCCGCCATGCTATCTGACCCGAACGAGCCACCTTGTGGTGAGATTGGTAACTACCTGCTCGCATCTGCGTTATTACGCAGAGACATAAACGTATACACAAGGAAACGATAGGAGATAACCTATTTTATCTCTGTATACATTTTAACTTTAATACATCGTTGAATCGAATTTGTCCAAAGGTCTTGAAACGTAAAATACCTAAATATTTATCTTAGACCTTGGGATGACCTTGAACAAGAAACATTAATGTTGACCTCGGTTCATCTAATCATAATTCGCCAAGGGCCATAGTATCATCAAACGCCAAGTACCTAGACATTGATCGTTTACTTGGATTTAAATAAGGAGTATGATTTTAAAATTGGCTAGGTCGTGGTTAAGCAACAATAGTATGTTCGAAATACCGCTGTGTCATGCCTGGATCACATTTGCTGCGAGTATTTTGTTCAAAATTGAATACATTTCTGAACACAATACTCAATCGGCCGGGCGCCGTAGTGAAAATCGGAGCAAATGTGACCAAGACATAAAACAATTGAATAATACTGTATCAGTTTCACATTTACAGCGGTCAAAAGCATTTACAAAAAAAACCGCCAGAGTTGGTAATCATATAAAATGAAACCAATCCCGCTGTGATTCATAGAAATAACTAATTTACTGCATTGAGTTCAAAGTTATAACCTCGTCGATTTACATGAGTGTCCGATTCATTGTACCAAATTTAAACCTTGACTGTTTTCCAGAAAGCAATAAGCTGACATATATCATATTTTACATTTTAATACAACTGAAAAGATAATAAATGTTTTAATATAAAGTTGACGTAGTTATAAATGTTTTCAGCGTAAAATCAAAGCACAACTATATAATTAAAAACATAACGCTGGGATTCCAACTGGATACAACTGACGAGTTGTATTTAGGTGGCCTAAAGTGCTGCTTATTTTTTCGTGAAGCCACTCAGTAAAATTACGATTTCTCTCAACCCTGATGTTCAATCAACATCATTCGAGTATCTATATGTTCCTGACACGTTCGGGCATCCGGTTATGACAACGTCTACCCAATGTTTGCACGAGAAATTGACGTAATTCATGACTGAAATCGGGAAGACAAAAATATGTGATATTCTTTCAGAATTGTTTATAATAACTATTAACAAAAACGTTCCCGAGACACAATCCATTTAGGTAGGGTTTGTTTTAAAGTCGAAAAGCCCCAATAAGACAATACAAACCCAGATTAAACCCAGAAGAATGCAGATTTCATGTAATGATTTACGTTCATGTAAACAAGGAAAGTACATATAATCCCCATATAAAACACTGGCCTACGTGACATGTAAACACAGGTTCAAATTGAAATATAGAACATTTTCAACATAGCATTTGCTTCTGTGTTCTGTATGCCCCTCTACCTGCTAATAAGGCAATGTATCTTCAAATAAAACCTTAGCCAAGTAGGTAAGGGTCTCTGGAACACTTTTGTAAATAGTTTTCACAAGCAATTTTATTCCCGGACGCCCAAACGTGTCAGGAACACATATATATTTCAATGATCTTGATTGGACATCAGGTTGCAGAGAAATCGTATTTTTACTGAGTGGATTATTGAATTTCATAGATCTAGAGGCCCTTCAGGAGTGGAAAACCTTAAATTATCAGAGATTAATGTTTCCAAACTGTTTTGAAACAAACTAACGTCTTGTTTTCAACCTACACCTTGCTCCTTTTTGTCGTATTTAATAAAACAAAAATCACGGAGGGATACGAACCACTCACCTGGCACTTGGTTATTCACTAGCGCCATAGGCGTTCTACTATTCTGGATACAACTGACAAGTCGTATTTAAGTGGAGACAAAAGTGAGGATCATTTTGAATTGACGCTCGGTATAAATATATAATACTTTTGTTCTTTCATATCGGTAGCTCGTTGGCCTAATGGTTAGCGTGCCTGGCTTCCATAGTCTAGGTTAGTTGATCGAGACCCGTCCATGTCGAACTTTTTGATTTGCTTGTTGTCAAGATATAATAAGTAGGGCAAAATCCAGAAAAAGTAGATCAAAAATACTCCAATGGAGTATAAAATTGTCACCAGGATTCCGGAATGAGACGAAAGTGTTAACTCGTGAAATCTCGGTAGATAAGGTAGGTCAGAAAATCCGGATTAATCCGAACAAGGTTCGGGAATTTCCGTCATAAGAAGTAGGTCAAAAATACTCCAATGGAGTATAAAATTGTCACCAGGATTCCGAAATACGACGAATCGAATCGGCAAACTTCGGTACAATAATGAAGTGCATAAAAATCGTGAAACAGGTGTCAGGGGCTTCCCCTCATCTTTCCATAAATGGTTCCAAAAGCCTTATATGGATCTATCACGTGACATTCAAAATGACGTTCCTATATGGTTCTATGGGCCTTATATGGATCTTTCGAACACGTGACCAAATCAAAATCAAAATTTTACCTTGACCATTGGATGGGATTTCATAGAAAATATCAAAGAAAACATATTCTCGTGATCCTTAAATCACTTAAATTCGATCATTTTATCTTCACCCCTTGATGGAATTTTATGAAAGAAGTCATGAAAACACATCATCATGTAAGGGTTTTCACCTAAATTAGCTCGTTTTATCTTGACCCTTCAATTGAATTTCATTGAAAAATGTTTCATGAAAAATGTCATGTTATGATTTGTATTTAAATAAGACCGTTTCATTTAAATACTTGCTGGATAATATTTCATTAAAAAACGCACTTTAAAAATATTTCAGGATTTGCCTTAATTTATCAATGTAATGTAAGTATTAGATTGACTCTCAAATAGGGTTCTATTTTAACTTTTTTATTGAAATTAATACTAGGCAGGACTCACTCTCTAAATAGCTAATAAAAATTCAACCCTTGGATGTGATTTTTCGTTGAAAAAAAATATGACAAGTCCAGAATCAAATGATTTGTCCAGAACCTCTTAAGATCCTGTTACAGATAATCGGGTCAATTATCGGCAAATGATTCAGGAGTTACCTTCCAGAGTTAGGCAGGCTAGCCTGGAGAGACTAAATGATATCCAAATGAAAACACAGAAGTCTCAAATTGATACACACAGCAAAGGCTATACTAAAATCCCAACCAATGCAGTTTCTTTAACCTCTGACCTCTCTGTATAAGGGGGGCTATAAGACATTGTGAGGGCCTCCCCATTCACCACATTTGGCGGCCCATACTTTTTTCTCTGAGGCTATTTGAAGGACCATTTTTATTCTAAACCCAAGCATGGAAACCTAGAACAACTTGAGGCCAGCATCCGAACAGAAATCAAAACATTCCACCAGAAATACCATATGTGATGAACAATGTAGTAGTAAGGATGCTGACTGTCATCGAAATATGAGGTTACATTGAAAATGTGGTGGGAAAGGTAGCGGGTTAAAGTATCAAAAAGGCAAAACTGAATTAAAAACTGTGTATAGGGGAAAAAACCTTCATCTTTTATCTACAAGACCATGCAAAAAATGTCTGAAAATATTGATTAGTTTGTCTATGCTGTTGATATACTTTTTGTTACACTTTTGAGACACCCTATATACATGGGTTGTAACATGGAGAGCTAAGGCATATATAACATTCGCGAGAGAAATTGTGACATCCAAAATTGGAATTGCATTAAATATTTTAAATGGAAATAGTTATTCTATTTTATGACACGTGAATATGTATTGATCAATCAGAATCAATGTTACATATTGAGTATTTAATAAAATCAATTATTGTTCAACATTATTTAGAAATACACTTTTTGTGGTTTCAGTTTTACGATGGTGTCTAAACCGTTGGCGTCATTTTTTCAGACAGTCTTTTATTGTTTCACCTTGATCATGGACGCCAACTTTCAAATAAAATAACTTTTCATGATCAGTTATAGCAAAAATCGTAAAATAACACACAGAAAAATGGCCGCTCATTAGCCAAATTGTCATAAAAAGTGTAATAAATGATTCTATGTAGGCACATACAAAAGATCAACAAAATCGCTCCATTTTCCAAATGGCTGTCTTCTACCAGCCAAAGTGCATAAGACAGTGTACCATGTTTATGAGTATATGAATACAATCGCTCCACTACATGAGTCGTAGTAAAAAACGTAAAATAAGGCACCGTACCTACGTGCCAAAGTGCCATTTGCCAGTGTGTCATGCTTATGAGTCCAGATATCAAATATGAACAAAACGCTCTACTTCTTTTCCAGTTACAGCAAAATTCGTAAAATATCGTGCAACGCCCGCCATTTTCAAGATGACCACCATTTTAGAAATATGTTTAGATTTTAACTTAATCAATATCCTATATTTTATTTTATTGCATTAAATTACAGTTCAATGTATTGTACCTAAAATACAGAAAACTTAAAACTAAAATGGCGGTCATTTTAAAACCGATAGCCATTTTTAAAATCAGCTTTCGGGTAGTACTTGTATCCCCATAGGGCATATACATATACAGTATAAACACTATTGGTGTAATTTTATTTGAGTTATTGTCCGGACGGACGGACGGCAGGGGTAAGTACGAACTGACGGACGGAGTCGTTCTCTACATTCCCCTACAATTATGACGTTGGCCTTACGGTTATTGGATAAATGAGTCTTTTCATATTTACTTAAGAAAAAGTTTATTAAAAGTAAGCATACACACTACGACAATTGTATTATTTACACTAATTTTAGGTAGCAACTAAAGACAATCAGAATGAAACCATACAAGGATGTAATGATCTTATATTTGACTACCATGGTAATTTATGGATCACTGCATCATTTGGCCCCATTGCATCCAAAAGCTTTACAGACTCGAGGAAGGTAATATTTATGACATTAGTACAGTCAATCTGGAATCATGTTGTTGGGGGATATAACTTATCTAGGGAGTGGGATGGATATTAATGTGCATAGGGTGTCCAAAAAAACAGGACCGTAAGAAAGTTGAATAACTCGGTCAATTGTGCATATTTTGCCTTGGAATTTAAGAATTATTTAGTTCATTCAATGAGAATTTTGCTCTAAAAGTTTGATGATAATCTATTTATTGTGTTAAAAACTACAGTCCTTTACAAAACATGCCCAAAGTGGGCACTTCTCCTCTCTATGCACAAACGAATCCTGCGAACAAAGTTGTTAATGACCCTAACCTATACACATTAATGTGGATGGTAAATATTGGGGTAGTTATTGGGCTCTTAAGATTGTTAGGGGCCTGTCAGTACACAGTGGCTTTGAGAAATCCTCAAAGATAAAAATTTGGGGGATTTAGATCAGGCAAATGAGCTGCCCATATGGTTTGCATTCTGCAACTGATGACCTAACCACCAACGCATTGCCTAAACCATTTCAGCATATCATTTGCAGTGTTGGGGTGGTATTGGTGTGTTGAAACCACTGCTTAATTATCTCCTTAGATGTCCCTTCTGGTGCTTAGTGACCTCCAAAACTTGGCGAGAACTTACTGGTCCTTGTTCATGCTGATAGCAAGTCCCAAGTCACCTTCGACCCAAAAGGGACTGATGATTCCATGTTTCCTCATTGCCACCCAGGGAGTGCATTGTTCAGAATGCAATGGATGCTGTAACACTTCATCAGGAGGATGTAAGCCCCAGTAGCAATTGTTGTTAGAAAAACTTGTCCATTCAGAAAGACATGTGTGTAGGAGGATCATCAACAGCTTTGTTCGCCGGATTGAATTGTGCATAGAGATGAGATTTGCACATTTGGGGCATGTTTTGTAAGGAGCTGTAGTTTTTGACTCAATTGATAGATTATTATCAAACTTTCACAACAAAATTCACATTGAATGAACTAAATAATTCTGAAATTTCAAGTCAAAATATGCAAAATTGACCGAGTTATTCAACATCTTACGGTCCTGTTTTTTGGACACCCTATCGCCGAGGTTCAGGACATACATAAGGGTTGTGTACTGGGAGGTTTTGGATATGGGGTTTATCCAGCGGGAGATATGCATATCTACCTGAGGGACCGAAGGTAGATGTGCATATCTTACGAGGGATGAACCCCCTATCCAAACCAACCGTACATAAGTGCTTTATCCTATACCAAGTAGAGTTTTCAGGGGCATATGGCCATTTCAATAGTACAAGGTCTAAAAATAAACAAATCATTCATATGCAAAGTCATTTTATTACATTTCCACCACTTACCGGAAGCGGGAAGATATGCACCGAAGCGGGAGATATGGTGGTTCTGGATATGGAAACCTCAAAATCAGGATACGGGATATATCTTACCAACTTATCTCACTAAAACTCTACTTGGCATAGGATAAAGCTGTTTCTATTCTGGCCCCACTCCAATTTCTTTGATCTCTCACTGTTCCATTTGTTCATTCAAAATCTAAACAGAAAATCTTTTAAAATGGTTACAAATATTGTTTTATCTATTATCATTTTCATTCACATAATTTCAAGGATCCATTTGGGAGTGTGTACTGCTATAATATGACAACTAATGAAATCATTAAAGTTGCCACTGGATTCCTATATCCCAATGGTATAGCTGTGCAACATGATAGCAATGGGACTCCGAAGAAACTCATTTTCGGGTCGTCGTACAATATAACTGCCCCCTTATGGAGCTTTGATATAGTTAGCCCTTGTCAAATTGAAAACAAACAAGTTTGGGGAAATCTACCTGGTAAGTAATTATATTTATGAGAAAAATATATTTGCTGAAAAGGTCTGATCCGATGTTGAAATCAATGTTCATCTCAAAACATTGTGGTGCAATTTTCTCCTCTAAACCTTACATACGTACAGCTAGTTTTAAAAGTGTAGTTTACCATTTTAATGTTCATTGATTTCTACTTATAGCCAATGGTAATATAAATGGTATAGATTTTGATGAAAAGGGGAATCTTATAGTCACACTCATAGACAATGGTTCTAGTTTGCTGTTCGTCTTCGGCCCTAATGGAGGTACTCCGACTTGTCAATTAAAGTTGCCAACTACGCGTGCGACCAATATACAGTTTAGGCCTGACTCAAATGAGCTCTACATTACTGGAGATGCATTATTGAAACTACGATGGAAATACAATGGGATGAAGCAATATTGCGAGATCGCTTAAAATGTAAACATATTACGTATAATAACAAGTTTTAAGCTGAGCAAACAAAAGCATTATAGTTTGTTTATTAATGAAAAAGTTGTTACGCGGTAAACACGATAGAAAAATATGCCATATTCCGCAACGAGTATGGCATATTCACTTGCGGTGTATGACAGATTCACCTGCGGTATATGGCATACACACTAAACAATGAGAACGTGATACGGAAGTACGCAATTGTCAATTGCATCGATTGAATGAACAAGTAAAACTTTATAAATTATTATAATGATTACTGAATCAACAATACAGTTTATCGAATATATCAACGTATACAGAAGCATCACTCACCAATCTCACGTAATAAACTTACCCAATCAATCCAGGATTCATTATATTAGTACTCGACGCACTAATCATATTGGTAATCCAGCGTAGTTTTACATTTAGAGTCGATTCTCGCAACCAATCAAACCAAGTCTTTCTGTATCACGTTTTCACCTGCAGAATATGTCATATTCACCTGCTGTATATTGCATATTCCGCAAGTGAGAATGACATATTCTGCAGGTGAGTATCGGGTATTCACTGAAATCAATGTATCGCATATTCACTGTGGAATATCGCATACTCACCTGCGGAATATGGCATATACCGCAGGTGAGTATGGCATATTCACCCGTATCACAAATACCGTACAACCATGAATGTATGCCAAATTCGGCGTAACAAAAATAACACAATTTTCAAGGTCCCGATATATCATATTTGGAATGTGTGACGAACAGGATTTGGGTTGCTTTCGGAGGTTTACTGGTGACAATATTGTTTAATGAAACATTTAATCACCATGAGGTTAAGTAAGTGACACTACAGGCTCATAATCTCTACAATCCACCTGTTCGAGTGGTTCATCAAGGGTCAAATCAGCCCCCATATTGCAGCAGCTCCATATAACCCCAAATAAAATGCTAAATACCTGTATAATGACCGGCTAACGTTGACTGATTCTTGAATTGAGGTGAACTTGTCCAAAGGCCCTTAGCCGACAGGTTTTGTGTAAAAAACGGGTGACCAGGTACCTTACGTTCCTAGCAGGGTTATGAGTTTATTTATTACGTTGGATCTAAACCATACATGTACGTTATTTTCGACGTCACGTTTTGAGGTTATTTCACATCGTAAGAACGTTTTGACGACGTTAACTTTTATCGTTAAAATAAAGTCGGTAATGAATCGATTTAGTGAGAACATAACGTCTTTGTAACGTTTTCTTAACTTACAAATATTTTGAAGCCATTTCCACAATGTTGAGATTAAACGTTTGTGTTACGTCGAAAATTAACCAATGTGGTAAAAATGAAACGTTCCTGTTACGTTTTCTACACTAACAAACTTTACTAACATGTTTCTACAACGTACTTTTTATACCATCCATCGACGTTTTGCTGAATATTTAAATAACGTCAGATCAATACGGTACATGAACGTCATTATGGACGTCACGTTTTGAGATTATTTCACATCGAAAAAAACGTTTTGACAACGTTAAATGTTAACGTTAACAATAAGTCGGAAATGAACCGATTTAGTGAGAACACAACGTTTTTATAACATTTTTTCCTTCAACAAATATTTTGATATTAAAGGGGCAACAAGGACTGTAGAGAGAAAATTTGAAAATTAAATTTTTTTCTGACCTATCAGGTCAATATTTGACTTTAATTAACACCTTCTTTGACATACCTATTTTCATAAAATGCATCCAAAACTATCAATTTCAGCATTAAGAAGTGTAAATTCAGTTCAATAAGCTTCTATAAAGGTAGTCCCTCTCATAGATTTTTAAGATTCACCACGTTTCATATCAGCTGAAGGGGGTTTCTTTGTAGATAATGAAAATATATGTTAGTCTTGAAATATCCAAACTTAAATATATGTTGACACTGGACGATGATTGTTGAATTGTTGCAGCTTTAAAAGTCTGTTTCGACAACGTTGAATTTTAACGTTTGATTTACGTCGCATATGGACCGATGTGGTAAAAATCAAACATTCCTGTTATGTTTTCCACACTAACGAACTTTATCGTTACCGTGTCTCATGTTACGTTGGCTCGACGTTTAAGGAACGAAAATATGCAACGTCTTCTAGGAACTTATATGCAACTTATGAGCAATGTGACATGGACGTCACTGTTTGCTGGATCGATTATTTTAAAAAGTACTGTCTCTTATAGCGTAAAAAATATCGAGCAGTAGTGCACTCGGTAGGCTAAGTCTGTTAAGTCAATTCGCTACTATATATCGCGAAAAATGTGAAACTTTGAAAGTTGGTAACCCTGCTAGGAACGTTAGGTACCCGGTTACCCGGTCACCCGTTTTTTTACACAAACCCTGAGACGACCTTGACCCATAAACATTGACTTTACCGCAGGTCGGCTAATCATGAGTCACCAAGGGTCATAGTATCCTTCAAGTGCCTTAAAACGCTAAATATTTAGATTTCGACCTTTGACCTTGAGACCAATTAAACGCTGACCCTGACTTCAGGTCACCTATTCACCACAATAATCCCCAAATGCCTTTAACTCCAAATACAAAGATATTGACCTGTGACCTTGGAATGACCTTGACCGATTAAGTTTTAAAGTCAGATACTTAGATATTGACATTTTACCTTTGCATGACCTTGACCTTCGCGTTTCAGCTTTTGATTTGGGCTAGAGTTCCATTCACTTACATGCTAAAATCTTTGAAAAGTGGCTTAATTTCATGATTTATCAAAAAGTGTTAGTTGAATCTGCATTAAACGTGAATGATATACCACACGATGGCCATATTTATGTACATGTTGTGATTAAACATGCTAATGTTGGTTGACATACAATTTATCCAAGGTTTTAAAGAATTTTAGCATTGCATCTATGGAGATTTGGCCCAAGTTTTTTTTAAATTGTCATAGAAAATTATTCAAAATTACACAACTGTGTAAATCAAAGCTATTATAGGAGAAAACATTTCACTGAATTCAAATATGCCATTTAAAAGAAGGTGATGGAAGTCATTAGAGGTTTAATATGCGAATCTCTTAAAAATTCACGAAAACGAGGTTTAGCGATATTTCAAAAGCTATATTGAAACTATACTATTGCAAAATCAAGGGGTTGCACTCTTACCACAGACACATACATATTAGTTGTGTAAGCGAAATTATGAGCAAACTTTTGTGATTTAAAATAGAGTCCGCATCTTACTCTGTTTAAGGTAATTTCTTGTTTTCGGGAAATATGAGTTTAGAAGTTGAATTGAAGTCATTAAAGTTTGAAGATTTGTTTTTGATTTTACTTTTGAACATAGAGATGGTGGAAATAGACAGGAGAATAGACCTCTCTTCTGGAGATAACCTATTCCATTCACAGATCAATCTTAGCAGTGGTCCATTGATTAGTCGTGCGCTTGATTTAACAGGTATTTGGAAAGAACACGAAAAGATGGAACTATTAACAAGACATCGTCGGAGTCCCCACATGACCTTTTTGGGGGGGGGGGATTTTGTTTTAATTTTTTAAATACCTTTTTAAAATCAACCAAACATTTCTTTGTATAACTATAATATTGAGAGGTCTAAAACATGTTGTATATGCTATTTTGTTCCAACAAGGAAAGACATTTTATTCCATTCTCAAGAATTGGTAGAAATGAGCAAAAAAAATTGCACTAAAAAAACAAAAAATGTTAACAAAAACAGTTATATAAAATATTTCTAAATAATTTTCGCATTAAATTGTTGTCAATCAGTCAACATTACACAAAATACCGTGTTTTTTTACAGAATGTTTTCAATGACTGGTTTAAGAGAAAAACATTGTTGAATTCAGTTCTCCATATCGATACCAATCCTTTTCCCAAACTTGTTTGTTCTAAATCTGGCAAGAGCCAAAAATCAGATTTTTTGAAGTGTTGCTATTGTTGTACAACCTCAATGTTATTATGAGAAATAAATTGATTAGACGAAAAAATAACTGAAGTGGTAGCGTAAAGGGTTGAGTGAAAGAATGTATTGCCATATAACAAAAATACAGATTTTGCATTTGACTGCTGCCGTAATGCCATTTTTTCACCAAACATCCTGATGTCACAATGGAGAATTTACATGAACAGTGCGAAACATTAACTAAAAATATAATGTGAACTCCCTTACACACCCATTTTCCCTCTCGGCATATCTTTGAAGAGGTACACTATCTTATGTATGAAACTTTAAATTCCAAAAGTTGATGTCCCAACGATCATGGAACTAGTGTTAAAATATCGGGTGTCCCAAAAGTATTTTTCTGGAAATGATGAACCAAATGAATTAGAAATTTCAACAAAATAGCCCAAGAGTATCATTAGCAAGTTTTCAAAATATAAAAAATCAAGTAAATATTCTGAGACCTCTGTAGTGTTTGTGACTGCTATCGGGTAAAAACACCTGTCAATCAGTCAAAATAGCTTGTCTGTGTGGCATGTATATATGTCTAATTTATTTGTTTCATTCTCAAAATTCATTGGAGGCGATATTGTTAGAATACATACGAAAAGGTTTGCTTGGTAATGGATCAATAAGTGACTTTAACTTTGATATTGGTTATTGTGACATACTTTCTTTAATTCAAATACACACACATAATATAAGACCAATATCTACATATTCATAGCACTAGCGGAATATACCCTACAGTGCCTCAAATAAAATAATTTGGCTCATCCATTGCTGAGAAATTACTTGTCGAAGTGCTTCCAATTTTTGATACATACGCAATGAAGTTCTCATGGCATTGCTCCGATATGGGTTCTTTTGGCATGATATCTTGAATTAATTAGTACTCATAACTAATTCACCTGAACTATTTTCACGTTTTCGTACCTTGATACTCTTGGGCTACGTTGTACAAATTTTAGTAAAGGGGGGCGAGTTGTTTGTAGAATGAATCGGGGGATTTTTTCATGAATTTCGCTTATGTTTTTTATCCAAAAAACATCAATA